AGGTCAGGGGAAGTGGGGAGGCTGAGGGGTCATGGAGGGCCCTGCAGGGGAGGAGGAAAAGCAGAAAGAGCGGTCTCCAAGGTGGTGTGTACTGAGGGACTGCCCACCACCTTTCTAAGGAGGACTGCGTGCATGTGTGTGTGGCGGGGGTTAAGGTCACTCCCCATGGCTGCTGAAGGTCTGTGGGCACATCAGCTGGCTCTTCCTCCAGCTCTGACGAAAAAGGTTCAAAGCCTATTTTGTGTGTTCCTCCTAGCGCCATTCACAGATGCCTGCGAGCTCCCTTCACCCCAAGAGGTGTTCTCTAATCTTGGGCCCTGTTGGGTCTTGTCTTTTAATTAAGGACTGTGGTTCCTCCATTGCTGAGGAGCTGCATTCTCACCACAGCATCAGGCACTGCGCTACTCTGTACTCTCACAGGATTTCTCCCCGGGGCCAAGGGCCATTCCTACCAGTGTGCTCCCAAGACCCCAGGGCGTCCAGCACAGGCTGCTTCTAAGTACCGCTGCTAGTGCTCAGCCTCTGTGGCGGGCAGGTCCCAGCCCCTGCTGCTGGATCCTGGGAGACTGGCACCTGCTAGAGGTAGCCCCGGCCCCACTGCAGTGGGAGTATGAGTCTACAGGGAGTGCTTTGCTGGGAGGGTTTTGCCCAGCAACCCAATCCCACAAAGTGTGGACCTTCATGCCCTGCACTCCCTCTAGGGGACAGGCCAGCTGCTTGAGAGCCTGTGCGGTCCCAGGGTGAGTGGGCCATGGGTAGCCAGGAGCCTCCTGTGTGAATGTCTGTACTTGGCTGTGACTTTCTGTCCCTCCCATGGGCCGGGGGGACCAGCCCCAGGCCGCTGAACATTGGCTTCTGGTCTACCTGTGAGCTAATGCTCCCTGTTTGCTCTCCCACACAGGGCCCCCGTGCTGTTTGGGCCTCGTCCCTGTTGAAGAGGTGGACGGTCCCAACGCCTGCCAAGTGGCTGGAGGAGACTGGTGTCCCCAGCACCCCTCGGCAGCCTTCTTAGGACAGGACCCTGGGATGCGGCGGCCCGCCAGCCCACCCGTGCACGTGACTTTGGAGACGCCGCCCCCCACCATGTAGGCAGGAGCCCACGTGGCCCAGAGAGACTATGTATTTGTTGTTTTTTTAAAGAGAGAAAACCTGGTATTTATTTTTCTATTATAGTCATATTTATATATTTATGCACCTGTAAATAAGTGTATGTGTATTGTTATAAATTTGGAGAGATGTAAGGAATGCTTCCCACTGGGGTACGAGAAGGGAATGAACCCTCACATCCCAATGGGGTCTCCCAAGACAGAGCCACAGCGCCAGCCAGAATGCAGACTCCCCCGCGTCAAACCCCCGCCTGTGCCCGGGAGGCAGCCAGGGACCCACAGCTGCGTGGACGAAAGGACGGCTCCTGGGCCTGCTGTGGGCCCAAGACAGACCCTAAGGCCGGCTCCACGCTGCAGGCAGCACTTGGCCAAGGTGCCAGGAGACCAGACTGAGACGTGTCTAGCACTCGCGGCATTAACAGACCTTCCAGAATCAGTAATTTGTGACAACATAGCTCTGTAAAAACAAACACTGTAACTTCTAAATAAATGTTTAGTCTTCCCTATAACCCTCGACTTAGTCATCCGTGAGTCAGCAGTTGCTGCAGACGTTGGAATTCAGTCTGGGAGGATTTGAAGAAAATACTCACTTGTGACAATTTCGGATCCATCCAGAGATGAAATCTGGAGAAGTCAGGAAAGCATGTTGTCCGGTGGTGGTTAGATCCTGTCAGTCGTGCTTGGATTTATGTGTTCTGGGGAAGGGGCCGAGAAAAGCAGGGAAGGACTTGAGGGGGAACATACCAGATTGGATTCTCACACAGGCATGTGTAGCACATCCAGTTCTTTGCTCCGAAGTGCAGTTTGGTGAAGTGCTGGGCCGCACGTGAGCACACGCTGCGTCAACAGTTCGCTGCCGTTGTTTCCACAGGCGGGCTGGAGTGGTTGACTCACCAGGTTGAAATCAACAGTTGCTCACTGCTGTCCAGCTAAACAAGGAACCATCGCTGTTATATGTAGAATTGCAGCTTGATGGACGCCTGGTGTTCGCAATGGAAGCCTTCCACACATCTCAGCTGTTTTCATGCTGGGGACATTCCTTTTCTAGATTTCAGTGAGATTGAGTTAGTGACGAAGTGCCACTTGAGACAGTCTCATTGAGAGTCATGCTAGGTCCTGGCTTCCAACCAGAGAAAATTCAAAAAGAATCCTAGGGCCTCTGGCAGCTGGGCCAGGCTCAGAACGAGCACACCCTCTGCTGGCTACCAAAAGTAGGGCAGCCCAACAAACAGCCAAATACTAGTGACAGTTCTCCCACATTCCAGGGTGTTCGGGAAAGTGACACTTTACACTCTAGAGGGCTCTGAGGAGTGTAAAGCTGACAAGGAAGGAGTAGAACAGGGCAGAGAAGAAACAGGATATGCTGACTTAAGAACGACCTGACAGTGAAGGCCAGCATCTTGCATTCCTGAATGGGCAAGGCTTGGCTTGGCTTGGCTGCTCCGGGAGACCTCAAGTCTGAGCTACAACTCACCTCCCAGCACGGGGTCTTCTACGAACGCCTGCTGTGTGTCCTCCTCCTGAATGGTCGCTGAGCTAGCTTCATTGAGATGTGAGGCACCTGCTGCTTTTCCACACAACATTGGCATTGCAATCAAAGAAAAAGCCCTTCTGAAGCTGGTGAGGGGAGCTGAATGCCTGCATTTTCCTCGCAGGGAAGAGAGATGGTCAGGAGGTTGCGTTTACATTTCAGCTCCGAAGACAGAGTGGCTCGGTGCTATCGACATTCAGTGTTACTTTTGGTCCAGGCTCATGAGTGTTTTAGCACCTTTGTAACCATTTAGTCCAAACTGCAGAGGCTGTGCGAATTACTGAGGGGAAGTATGAGACCCCAGGAGCAGGAGCTGGCAGGGTGCAGGAGCCAGCGGATGGCTCTGACGTCAGGACAGGATTCTTGGGTGAGTCTCCCTGTCTCTGAAGCTGGGACAGGTGGGGATGCTGCAGTGATACTTGGAATGAGGTTCCCAATGTATAGCCAACTTGGCATTGCCCCCTGAAGAGCAAGCAGCTGAAGGGAGGTTTTCCCGAGTGAGCCCAGTAAGATGATGGTGGGAATCCTGACAGCCTCTTGCCCAGCCTGCACCCCCTGGGGCTCTTCTGACGCGTCCAAAGACTCAGGTGCTCATACAATCTCAAACTGAAGATGACAGCTGAGATGGAGTAGAAGTGAAACATAAGCTATTTGGATATCCTGTCCAATTCAGAGTAAGGTATTCACTAAACAAATCCCAAGCATGTTAAGTGAATCCTTAGTGATTTAGTCTAGTTTGATTGGGGAAAACCATGATAAGCCTGGTTAAAATACACGGAATCCCTGGTGTGGCTCTTCCATAGGCGACATTCATTGTTGCTGCAGTTGGAATCACAGAACAGGAACGAGTCTCAGATCGAAATGCCTCATTTGTTACATAATAAAACAAGGCCCCAAAAGCTCCCCTGTCACTTCCAGCTCTCAAAACTGCCAAGGTGACAAGGTCTCACGATCTTTCCAGGAAGGCTGTCACTATGGTGGCCTGTTCTGGGTCACACATTATGTTTTGTCTGTCCCCATATCACACCAGGGTTGGCCTGTGTGATCCCCAGTGACAATAACGATAGGTTATATGACATGTGCTGTTTGTTCTTGTTCCCCCTTGCCCCACCTCACTCTTGGATCAGTGGCTCTGGGGAGGGTTGTATGGTGAACAACCTTGTGGAGAAACCTACATAGCAAGACCCCGGAGGTGCGTGCCTAGCAGCCACCAAAGTGTGGGTGCATGGAGCCACCACAATTCCAGCCAGCTCAGTGTGGCTTCGGCTCTATGACACCCTGTGCTAGAGACATCTGGTCAGGCTGATCACAGATTCATGACCCTGGGAACCCCACTTAGCCCTGGATTGGGTGCTTTGAGCTGAGTTTTGGGGCTGTTTTTCATACAGCTGTAAATATCCTGGGATGGATGGGTACATTTAAAAAAATATATTTGAGAGACACACATGGAAGGAGGACACAGTGAGAAAGCAATTAAAAAAAAAAGTACTCCTTGGTAGAGAAGCTGTCACATCAGAAATTGTTGGTGACAGATGCAAACAAGTTCTCACCTCTTACAGAGATAGCAGGCCAAGTAGCCATATCTAGGAATATTCTAACAGAAAGCAGGAATCCTGTCTGCAAGGTCAACATAACTAAACTGCTCTCTACATCCGTGCAATACAGGGAGCTGCCTTCCTCATCTTTCTTTCTCAGCCCCAAGTTTCCGCTCTGCGATAGCCTTCCAATCACTCCCAGAGCTCTGGATCTAAAGCACTCCCCTGTTAAGCTAACAGACCCTCCTGGTCAGCACAGTCATTTCTCCTTGGCTGCGGCCATCAGTTTTCAGAGCAGTCAGTGCAAAGGTTACACTCGGTCAAACGTGTTCGTGAGAGGGGCTGTCTCAGCGTGGTGTAATTCCATGTCACCTCCTGTTAGGTGGCATCAATGGCAGATGGCTCATGTGAACCTGAAGACGTGGCCTAGGATGTGGGAAGCTGGCGAGTGCTTTGGAGTCCTGGTGGAACTTCAGAGACCTTCAGAGGAACGTACCCTAACTGGCCATGTCACAAAACACAATCCTCATTCCACCCGGAATTGAGGGCTTGGAGCAGCTGCGGGCAACTCTGGAAGCCTGTTGTTTCTAGAACAACTAGAGCAAACTGCTGTGTGTGTCAGCATTTCCTGAAGCCTGAACCCGCAAACAACTACTTTGCGGAGTTGACAAAGCTGAAATTTTAATTTGCGTTTCTTACTCTGATATTGTTGGCAGGGTAGTTTGTTTTTTTCTGTTGTGTCCTCCAGAGAATGTTTAATAAGAACAAAGTTTGTTTTCTAAAGATCCAAGGGTTGAGGAAAGGAAGTTTTCTTGTGGATTACTGAATGATAGTGTTTATTGCCAATGGCTAAAAATTCAGAATGCCAGAAGGACAAATATTCCCTCAGACAAAAATACAAAGCAGATGCCTTCTCGCCCCTAGACGATACAATTTAGTAGGTTTCAAACACCTACAATGGTTTGGCTCGATAAGAAGTAGATTTTGTGTGCTGCTGCCAGTTAAAAAAATAACCCAGTGGGAGGAAAATTATTGAAACTGTGACTTGGCCTGATTTTAGAGAATTAGGTTCAGTTGCTTTAATGGACCTGCTGCAGGTAATAAACACAATGGCAGATTACACTGCACATCCTGGCTGGGCTTGAGAAAAAAGCACATCCACTTACTGGTCCATGGGCTTCATGTCAGTGTCTTGCACAGATGGGATGGGAGGGAGGATAAGGCCACTTTTGTTACGCAGAAGAGCGATCTCTTGCTTTAAGGCTGAAATCTTTTCGGCCTGGGCGTGGATCAGTTCGGTGGCTCTCTCTCTTGCCACGATGTCCACTTTGCGGGGCCTCTGGAAGGCGTTGCCCTGTGGAAAGAACATCCAGCTCTGCTGTAAGCATCATTTGGAGCATCCTGACCCTATGTCTCTGTTAGCAGGGCCAGCCTCCTGGTCGCGCCAAACAGTGTCTGCCCCTCTCTCAAGGAGTCAGCCATTTGTCTACCCCATTTTTGTCATTGAAAGTAACTTGTATTTGGACTAGGGAACAACTCCAAATGCAAATCCTCACTGGAAAAGTAACGTGATAAGGCAGTCATGACCGAGTTCCATAGGCATGTCTTCTATAAGGTGCAAAGTTTGGTTCTTTTAAGGAAATCCTCTTTCTCCCTGCTCATCTGCTGTCCCATGAGTCAGCTGCTTCTTGCTCACATGTCAGGCCTCACTTAGAGGGAAGACATCTTTGTTCCACAGACTGGGTCAGGATTTCCTGCTCTCTGACCAATCAATATGTCCATTATATGTATCCACCATTGTAATGAGCAGACTGAACCACAGGACATTTATGTGACCTGTATTTAACCCCAACTAATGAAAACCATACAGCACAGCCTAAATGCTTGTCTCATATCTGGTTTTCATGCTAGTTCCTGTGCCTCTTAAGAGACAGGGCCCAGTATGATGAGGTCGCAGCATTGTATCAGGAACCCTGCTAGTGCTTCTTACACAGTTTCTCAGTAAAATTTGAATGTATAGGGGTCAGTGTTGTGGTCAGCAGGTAAAGTCATCACTTGCAGTACCATGAATCCATATGGGTGCTGGTTCAAGATCTGGTTGTTCCACTCCCAATCTAGCACCCTGATAATGTGCTTGGGAAAGCAGCAGAAGATAACCCAAGTTCTTGGACCCCTCACCCCATGTGGAAGACCCTAATGAAGCTCCTGGCTCTTGGCTTCATCCTGGCTCAATACTGGCCTTTGAGACCATTTAAAGAGTGAATCAGCAGATAGTAGAGTTCTGTTTCTCCTTTGCTCTCTGTAATGCTTTCAAATAAACATAAATAAATCCTGAGGACATTTGAATGCGTGAGTATATCTCTTATGAGAAGGACATAACATTTACCTCATACCCACTCTTGCTCAAGTTGCCTTATATAGACTCTTCCATTTAATCCTCACAGTATTGTGGGCTATATGCTGCTACTTCAGTTTAGTAGATAAGAAAACAGACTCTTTAAGTAGCCAAAGGCATTTTATTATTAAAGGCTGCAAGTAGGGTGAGAAACAGGTTGCCTGCAGCCAACAATGACCCCTATTTCCAATGGCAAGCCTTGGTAGGAAGCAAAGGTTAACCAACTCCCACTTGGCCTCTTCTTCCCTGCTCAACTTTATTTCAGAGGCTGGGAAAGGTGAACTCTAACCTTAGCTAGTGATGGCTTTGCCTCCCAGCTAGGGATGGCTTTTGGACATAAGCAGAACATTTCTGCTCTTTTCAAAGCCAGTTTATTTCTTTGAAAGGCAGAGGGAAGGGGAGAGAGAGAAGGAGATGGTAAGAAAGACAGAGAGATCTTGCAACTGCTGCATCTTCAGATTCACTCTCCCCAATGTTTGCAACAGCAAGACCGGGCCACGCAGAAGCCCAGCGCCCAGAATTCTCCTAGGGTCTCCCACACAAATGGCAGGAGCCGAAGTAGTCAGGGAATGGTGCATTAGCAGGGATTGGGAACAGAGGAGCACACCCAAGAACACACGTCCCAAAATGGAACGTGAGCACTCCAAGGGCAGAAGAGGTTGTCACACGGCTGTGAAACAGCTGAATGAGCCATCTTGTGACCTTGAAGGAAAATCTGAGAGAATCACAGGGACATCAGCCCTGATGAGAAGGACCCACACACCTCCCTCAGACTTCTTGTCCATTTGGAGGGGGGTGGGGGGAAGAACACTGTATACAAGGAGACTAAACACAAAGATTTATCACAGGAATAACTACTGTGTAACAGTACATATGCTGGTAATTCCCTTTCCCATTCAACTGCTACCTGACCTCAAATGCATCTGTACTTAGCAAAGAACAAATTTTTACTGACTGTTCTCTAAAGACCCTGTTTTGGTGTTAATCTTCTCAAACACTACCTTGATTCTTAAAACAAATAGCTTCTTAAAAGGGCCCCTAAGACTCAATTTTCCACCTTCCATTCAAGTCTAATCTGTAATTACAAATCTCTCAAATCTCCTTATTCATTCTCCAGGGGTTAATATACTATATTCTCTCTTACTTTGGGCCTTCATAGACAGCGATTCTTAAACTCCAGCACACACCAGTCACCCAGACAGCTTGCTAATACACTGGCTGCTGGACTTCCTCCCCCAAAACTTCTGATGTGGCAGGTTGGAGGTGGAGCCCAAGAAGTCACTTCCTATCCCCTAGGGATGCTGGTGCTTTTCTCGGACATTCAGTAAGTTCAACCACATGTGGCTAGCACTGACCCAGTGTCAGGGAAGTGGTCCAAAAGTGGCCAACGTTGCTTAAATGCTGGGACATGACATTCCTGTGGATAGCCACTGTTAAGAACTTGCTGAATTCTGACAAAGGATCAGAGGAAAAGGAATATACCTGCTGGTTTTGTAGTGTATTCAACCGAGAATCAAGTTTCTTTTTTTCAATGCATAAATCATTCATCTGATGAAGCTTTTTGGTGTGCTCTTTGGTCTTCACCATCAGTTCCCACCGCATTTGAGCAATCTTTTCCTACCAGAAGAGACAGGTGCAAAATGGAGTAAATGAATAAAAGGGAAAATTGAGAAAAAATGAGCACCTAGAACCATCAGCAGTAGGCACATGTGAAAATGCAGTCAGAAGCTCATTAGGAGAACACAACCAGAAGCAACTGCACCAGGCCTGGTTTGATTAAAGGGGAGAATAATTTTTAAATGCCCAAACAAAGCACGTTAGGAGAAATAAGACAAATATGGGTATCATGCTATTGTTGAGAAATGAGGTTATTATTTAGTATGCGGTACTGATTGCTGGTGCTCACTACTCAAATGGAGCAATGATGATCATGCAGCAACATTTCATAGACTGCTCCCTCCAGGGGCAGTCCAGGACCCGCAGGGTAGCAAGCCGGACTGGCCATGGATCTGCATATTAGCTTTCTTTTGTTTTCCTGGTGCTCCATCAAATCACGGGGTGGCATATCCCTTATCTAAAATGCATGAAGCCTGTGTCTTGGATTTTTGATTGTGAAATATTTACATATACAAAATGATGCATCTTGGCAGAGGGGACTCAAATCTAAACTCAAAGTTCATTTATGTTTCTATGTGCTTTATATGCATGCCTGAAGATGCTTCAACATAAAATTTTTAGTGCTCTTGTGTTTTGACTGCTATTTGTCACAGAGGTCTGATAAAGTTTTCTAATAGTGGCAGCATATCAACACTGAAAATGCTTGAGTTTTAAAACATTTCAGATTTCTAATTTTCTGGTTGGGATCTCCAACCTATATTTTAGATTGAACATATTATCTCCTACATAGAGACTAGTTCCACTGACATGGGCAATCAAAATAACTTGCTTCTTCATTGCACACTTGTACACAGGGCTCCTGGGCAAGATGGCAATAGGAATGTCCTCTCCTGCCCTATGTGCTAAGGAGATAAGATAGGGAAACAGGGAAAGCCTGATGATTCATGGGGTTGATGACAGCTTCTATCTCTGAAGCAGGATGGAATTAGGGCATTACATCATTGTGGTCCTAGGAAATACAAATGAACATTAACATTTTTTAAGACCCTACCAGTCAACCAGTCTATGCCTTGTTACAAGGCTTGGTAGAATTGTGTTCTAATTTCAAGCTGGAAGAGCATAGGGAAAAAACTATATAATGGCACAAGATCTGAAAAGGATAGTAGTTTCTAACAGAGTGTCTGTACATGATTTCAGAGTTTAGTTGTATCTCTGTAATCTTTCATGTCATTTTGCATCCTACACATTAATTGTATCAAATGCATTTTTGCATTAAACCCCAAAACCTGGTGCTGCTGTTTTAACTACAAGATAACAAGTTCCTCCCACTTAGCAAAGAGTTGAGTAGAGACAGGCCCAGGACCCAGGGATAGCCAACTCGGGCCCACGGGGCTAGCACCAGCTACACAGATGCCTTCAGGAAACAGCTCACCTGAAATCTTGCATCTGCCAAGATTCAACCTCAGAAGATCACCAGCCCTCTCCTTACCTCCCACATCTTCATCTCCTTTGCATTCGATAGCTCCTTTCGAAGTTTTCTGATCTTCAATTCCTCAAGAGTTGTGTTCACAGAAAGGGTCTGAAGGGCCTCAAGGTCTATGACACGGCCAAACTTGCTGACCATTAGCTGCCGGACTGTTTCTTCCATTTCTACGAGAGGAACTCACAGTCAGAGGAGCCAAAGCTTCCACTGCTATGAAATGACCATCACCACGAACAAGCCTTGTAATACATTATATACATAATATATAATTATGTATGTGTATATATGTATGTATATATAATGTTTTACCATATACCTTTTCCTATGTTTACCTCAATTTTAAATGAATTAAAAATGCATATGTGAAGAACACTACTAATAGAAGAAACTATAGAAAATTGCCTTTTTCTGGGCCCAGCGCAATAGCATAGCTGTTAAAGTCCTTGCCTTGAACACGCTGGGATCCCATATGGGCACTGGTTCTAATCCCGGCAGTCCCGCTTCCCATCCAGCTCCCTGCTTATGGCCTGGGAAAGTAGTCGAGGGCGGCTGAAAGCCTTAGGACTCTGCACCCAGATGGGAGACCTGGAAGAAGCTCCTGGCTCCTGGCTTCGGATTGGCTCAGCTCCTGCCATTGTGGCCGCTTGAGTGAACCACTGGACGTAAGATCTTCCTCTCTGTATATCTGCCTTTCCAATAAAAATAAATCTTTAAAAAAGAAAATTGCCTTTTTCTAAGTGATAAGAATTACATGCATTTATTATATCACCTGTTATCTGGGCAACACTGCCATGCAGGGTATAAGTTGATTCAAACACACAGGTGCAACCTGGCAATGTCAACAAGAGCTGAAAATTCATCCATGCCCATAGAGCCAGAGTAGAATCTGGGAGAGAAGGGTGTCAATCGTATCTTCAGTGTTTCATTTCTTAAGGCATGTAGTAGGTACATGAACTCTGTACTGTATTATTCTGTATTTGATTACACACAAAGATAAACAGATTGTATGATGAAGGACTACTCCTTTTAAGAGAGGAGCTAACCTTGTCATGGTATCAGAAGAGCTAGGAAGTAAGGAGATGGGAAGATACCCTTATTTTCTCTCTCAGTGGCTGTGAATCTGTAATCCCTGCTTTCAAAGTTGGAGACAACCGCTTGATGTGCTCCTCTGACCAATAAATGTAACTGGCAATGGCGGCCTTAGATACTTACTGTGGATAGTTTTGGACATCTCTCTCTTTTCCCGGATGAGCAGCTTGCGCCTCTCTCGGCATTCTTTGTTAAGCTTTTGCTGCTGGGAATTTTCTTCTTGGAGTTGTACAATTCGTTCCTGCAGCCTCCCCAAAGAGTGGTTAGAGAAGACCAAAGTGCCAGAAAGATCACTAGGTATTTCTCCAAATACCATATACTCTATCTGCAAAGACAAAATGAATCAAAATCAAAGCAAAATAGACAAAGATTCAAGTTAAATGCAAGGTCACAGAGTGTAGGGGGAGGCGAAGGGGTGTACTTCCTTCTCTGCCCCTTGTTTTGCTCCTTGCCTCTGACAAGTAAATTCAAAGCTGTTGACAGATAAGAAGCCACACTGTTTATCTCTGGAATCAGGAAATCTTCCCACATAGATCATACCTAGTATGATATGTGTATACATTATATGTGTGTGTGTGTGTATGTATGTGTGTGTGTGTGTATATATATATTTTTTTCTTCAATTGACCATAAGTTACAATTCAAGTAGAATGGAGATTAACAAAAAGTGGGAAAAAAAGATGAAATATCTTCCTGTTGGGCACTCTCAGTTAATGAGGGTAGAATGTAGTTAATTTAGGAAGACATCCTGAATCCTTGCCAGCGTGGAACCAGAACTAGTTGCAATTCCTCTGGAAGGGTCCCAGGAACAGTTAATGTGGGAATGAATACAGAGGAAATTTCCTAATCAATAGTTTAACAGATCCAGGGGGGGAAAACAACTTGCTATAGGAACAAATTGTGCATTGGTGGACAATCTCTTGCTATTGAAATGTAAATGGTTCAAGTCCCCCCTCCCCTATTCCCTATGTGAAAACCTTTTTAAAGTCTGATGCTGTTAATAAACTTCAGCTATTGACCATCAGTGAGTAGTCTATATGTGTTATTATTGGCTCAGCGAACCAAATCCATCGCTACTGGACAGCGAACAATTATCGACTAAATACTCAGTAAAGATCATTCTTGCATCATTCCTTCAGTCCACAGATGGTATGCAAAAAGTATGTGGGCAAGACTAAAGATTACAGCCCCTAAGTCATTCATTCCACGCATCAGTCATTGACCCCTGACCTCTCCAGACCAGATATAGATATACTTAACCTTCAACATGGTGATAGACCATAGAGAAACAGACAATATGATAACGGACAAGAGAAGTCACGGTAACACTCTTCAGGCAGAGTTGTCAGCAAAGGAGCACGAGTCTCCCCATTGGTGAGCCCTGGATCTCCGTCCGGGAAGCTCTGGAGTTGCTCAGCGCTGGGCTCCCTTCCCCACTGCATTACCTGGTGGAGTTTGAGTGGCATCACCACCAACAGCTCGTTGAGTCGCTGCTGTTTCTCTCGCTGATAGGCCTCCAGCGCCTCCTCTGCTGTGTTCAGATTCGCTGCCACAACTTTCACCTGGAAGAAGCCACGGGTGAAATGGAGAGATTCAATTAGCACACACGTAAGGTGGTTCCAGAGGCACTGGAAGTGCTCCCCGAGGGGGTGGGTTCTGCATGTGAGCCTGAGGTGACATGCATCTTCGCAGGTGGCAGCCTGGAATGGATGCTATTTTCTCCTCACCCAGTTAAGATCCACGCCATGTTTCCAACCATTCATATGTCCTCAGAGTCTATGTGGAGGTTTTGTGAATACTTGTTCCAAAGACATCATTTTACTTCCCTTTTATTTTCTATGTGACAAGTGGCCCTCAGCTGCTAAATGTCTTTATCAGAATGGTGGGAATCTGGTTTGGACATAGGAACTGAAATTGGTTAAAGCAAAGAGCAATTTAAAGCAATAAAATGACAATATTTCCAATGCACATTAAAGAAATATTTATTTATTTTACTGGGAAGTTAAGAGTTACAGAGAGAGGGAGAGACAGTGAGAGTGCATCCACCTGCTGAATCAATCATCAAATTGTTGCAATGGTCCAAAGCCAGAAGCCAGCAACTTCCATCCTCCACTGCTTTCCCATGCTATTTGCATGGAGCTGGATAGGGAAACGGAGCAGCTAGGACATGAAGTGGTGCCCTTATGAAATGCTAGTGTTGGTAGGTAGTGGACTGGCCTGCTATACCACGTCAGCACATTCTTTACCTCCTAAAAATGTGGCAATTTTCCAAGTCATTTCTTATTTACATGAGATTTAAGAAATATATACCAACAATAGGTTTCAATATGAATTGCTAGGTGATGCTGCTCTTGGTAACAGCACTGAGAGGATAGAGAGCAAAGAGAAGGCTAAGCCCACAGTATTCCAGAGCTCAGCTCAGTGATCTCTACCGTGGGCTGTGTGCACCCCAGAATGCCAACCAAATGGGGTGCAGAAAGAAAATAATAGCTTCTGCTTCTATTTACTTGTATCTTGTTCTTTCAAATTTCTTCTGTGTGAATGCTCCATAATGTGCAAAGTGTATTGCAGGTTGAGTAGCCGTTATCTGAAGTGCCTGGGATGAGAGTGTTTCAGATTTTGGAACTTTGCGGGAGAGGTCTGAAATATTTACATGACTTTACAGGATGATGATCCCCAATCCAAAAGGCCAAACTCCAAACTCTCTGAAATCTGAAATTTATTTTATAAGGGGTATGCTCACCTTGAGATAAAACAGTTCACTAACATATTTAATAAAAACATACAGTACATCCCCTTATGTTCTGGAGACTCATTCCAAGATCTCTAGTAGACGTCTAAAACCTTAGACAATATTGAAGTGCATATGCACACATACACAGATATTCACATATTCTGTTTTTATATTATGTTTTCCCCATACATATGGATGTATGATCAAGTTTAATTTATAAATGAGGCACAGCGTAAGATTAAGAATAATTATCACAATATAACAAGTTATTCAAATGTGGTCCCTTTCTCTCAAAATATCATACTGTACTGTAGCATTTTTGGAGAGCAGTGCACCGGAGGTAACTGAAATCAAGAAAGAGAAACCACTGATAAGGAGGGATGACCACAGACATTTATTATAGTGGTTGGTGCTCCACATTTTTTTAACCTATAGGATTATCCAGCTAAAATAAGTGTGGAGACCGATGATTAAGATAAAGTCTTATCATGAAAAGGGCAATGGGTCTGGTATTGTGGCTAAGGTTAGGCTGCTGCTGTGACACCCACATGCCATATAAGCACCAGTTCAAGTCCCAGCTGCTCCAATCCTGATCCAGGTTCCTGCTAATGTGCCTGAGGAGCGGCAGATAATGACCCAAGTATTCAGGCTCCTGTATGCATGTGGAATACTCGAATGGAGTTCCTGACTCCCTGCTTTGGACTGGCTCAGCCCCAGCTGTGGGAGTCATTTGAGAAATGACACATTAGACAGAAGATCTCTCTATTCTCTGTCACTTTGTCTTTGAAACAAACAAAATATTTTAAAAATATATCTAAAAAGAAGAGCAATGGTTCCTGAGAAAAAAAAACCCAGACAGAGCATTGGGAATGCTTCTTTTCTGAGCATGAGCACTGACAATGTAGTGTCATGAGACGGCAATATTTTGATGGGAGGGTGTCACCTTACTTTTTTGGACAATGCATCATACTCCTTTTTGAGGTTATCAACAATTTTCTTTTCTTCAACTAAGGCCTCCTCAATGTCCAGTCTTTTCTCTCGAAGTTGAATAGCCAGTTCGAAAAGCGCTGGATCACAACCTGAAAAAAGAACAAAAATTAAGTTGCCCCATCAGTAGTGCAGCATGGTAGCACTACAAAGGTGGCTGTTAGAGCTTCAGAATCAATAATGTACACTTGCCAATCCTCCAGGGCAAGCTTCCACTATGCTTATGGCTCCCACTTTTCAGGTGGAAAGTACTACTAGTTTTAATAAACTTGATGGTAATGACAACAGAGCTGATGCACCGGGCAGCATGGAGCCAGGCTTTTTGCTGGGCCTTGTGTGCACATTATGTCACTCAGGGCACACAGATGACAAGCTATAAACCATGCTTCCCATAAGTAATAAAGCTAAGTAGAAGGAAGCAGGCACAACTGGCACAAGACAGAAAGGATTCTGTCATTCATGACTGTCATTCATGAACGGCCACCTAAGGAAACAGATAATAAAGCATCCAGAGATACACTGGACTATACTTTCTACATTTTAATCACTTTTTCCTGATATCTTGTTGTTGGAGATTTGAGGCACACAAAAAGCACCTACTTGGTATTGTCCATTCCAGTCACACTCCACGGAGTACATGATTTTGTAGCACTTACTCGTTGGACAGATGGAATCATCAAACACCTCATCTTCCGATCCAGACTCATCTTCATCACTCTCCAAGCTGGATTCTTCCTCACTCGATTCCTCACTTTCTTCATCTTCATCTTAAGGAGACAGAAGCACATTTTTAGGAGAGAAATTTCTGCACTTAACTAAATAGCTCATTTTAAAAAATTTATTTTTATTGGAAAGGCAGATATGCAGAGAGGAGGAGAGACAGAGAAGAAGGTCTTCCATCCGATGATTCACTCCTCAAGTGGCAGGAGCTGATCCAATCCAAAGTCAGGAGCCAGGAACTTCCTCTAGGTCTCCCTCATGGCTGCAGGGTCAAAGACTTTGGGTCATCCTCAACTGCTTTCCCAGGTCACAGGCAGAGAGCTGGATGGGAAGCAGGGCAGCCGGGATTAGAACCAGCGCTCATATGGGATCCCGGCATGTTCAAGGCAAGGATTTTAACTGCTATTTTATTGCACCGGGCTCTGAATAGCTCATTTTTAAAAAGTAACATCCAGTGTCACTAGGAAACTAACAAAGAGGTGAGGTAGGAAATTCTTCAGTTTCAGAAGAGTTTAAAATGTCAGATAACAGCTCATGAACTCAAATGTTTACCAAAGGCTGTGCCGCAGTTAGTATCAACAGATCCATTAGAGGGAGCCGAGAGCAGGGTGCCAAGCTGCTTGTGCTCTAACCCACCTCACACATGTGCTTAGTGAAATGGGCCCTCCAGCTTCCTAAATCATAATGGGTCCTAAGAACAGAAAAACTATCTGAGCTGAAATAATGTTTTTATAGCCTGCACTTCATTTAGTTGGTATGGTGTGCCATGATGTTTGGATTTCTAGATATTGCACCAATTCCCGTGGGGGTGTTATGTCGACCAACACCCTTCCCTTTGATCAAACCTGAGTGAAGCTTCTTTGGGTGCTCTTTCTAACGAGTGCCTAACTCTGGTTTCTCTTCAGATCACATAAATCTTTTGCCTTTTACTAAGGAGTGCCTACACTGAGCTCTGACCTAAGCCCGTTCAGCACAGGCTACAAAAGAAAAACAACAAACAACCAAAACCAATCAACCAACCAAACAAACCAAATGGGACTGTATCCAACTAACAAACTCTTACACAGTAAAGGAATTAATCAGAAGTTGAAGAGACAGTCCCGAATGGGAGAAAATGTTTGCAAACTACCCATCTGAGAAAGAACAGATATCCAAAATATACACAGAACTCAAGACATTAACACTACTGAGCTATAATGAAATATCTAAAATTTATTGCCATCAGAATCTCAAAAGCTATAAAGAAAGAGGGTGAGGATGAAAAGTCCTCAAATTCAGCTCAAGACATCAGCCTAAACATTAGAGAAGTTGTGTGAGCCTCAAACAGGATACACCTGAGTGAGTCTACACCAAGATACATCATAATCAGATGTCTAGGAACAGCAATAAAGTTATCAAGAGAAACATGACCCTTACTTATAATGGACACAACCATTTGAATATCACTGAGTTTGTCATCAGAAATTATGGAAGCCAGAGGATCCAAGATGGCTAAAGAGAGAGGCCACTGGCCTTGCTTCAACCCCAGAGAAGCACCAGAACAAGAAAATATTTCCAGGAGATTGAGGGAAAACATTATCGAGGCAGTGACTGGAACCAGAATTAGCAAAACAACTCAGAAATCCAACAAAATGAAAGCACATCACAACTGCTACCCAGGATCCTCAGCTAGGTGCATGTGCACAGGTGTGTGCTTGCAGAGGTGTTCTCCATCTTGCCTGGAAAAGGTAAGCTGAAAGCTTCACAACCCTTTTCATGACCACAGAGCAGCAGCTGTGACTACAGAATGCCACCATCCTTACTGACTTTAAATCTATTCTAGACAGATGACTGAAGTTTCACCAGCTGTTTTATCCCCCAAATAGGAAGTCATTGCCTATACCTATCCCCCAAGGAGCCAGGCTCAAGCTGCAGCAGTCAATGCACATCTAAATTTCATTCTGTTATAGAGGACAGCAAACAGTCCCTTCTCTAGCCAAAGTCCCCAGAGCCAGAGCCAGCAGCATACCAGAGAAGACTACAGGTCCTTCCTAGAGCTGCAGGATTATTGGGCACAAGTCCCAAGACACTTTAGCCCTCTCTGCCCGATCTAGAAAAGTGCTCCTCTGCTTCCTGGGGCCTGGTGCCAGCATCAGTAAACATGAACTAGAGGACCTGAGCAAGTCCCTCTGCATCTTTTAGTGCATGATGCTGGAAGTCATGGCACCTGCCCCAGCATCACTCCTGCATGTCCTGAGGGAAGCAGGGGCAGTCCCTTTGTGGTCTGTAGCATTGGAACTGGGGCTGTTAGGGCTACAGTCCCCAGTCTCACTAGTGGGACCAGAGGGCCCTCACCGCATTCCTCTGCTTAGGGTTGGTGGTTGCCAGTCCACCATGCCCAGAATAACTGGCACTCAATCTGTGAAACCTAGGTAAGGATCCCATTGCATACTGCAGTTTGGGGATTGTTACTATTCTATAAGTTCTAAGGATGCCTACACTCCACTCTCCTCCCACCCCTGTAAAGTTAGGTTATGTATATGTAGAAATTTATCCATTTCTTCAAGGTTTTCCAATTTATTATCACATAATTGCTCATAGTAGTTACACATGATCATTTGCATTTCAGTAGTATCTCCTTTTCCTTTTCCATCTTGGGTTTATTTGAGTTTTCCCCCCTTCTTTGCTAGTCTGCCTAAAAGCTTGTCTATGGCTCAAAACAATCGTTTCATTTTGTTGATCTTTTTTTAGCTTCAATTTCATTATTTCTGTTCTGATCCTTATAATTTCTTGCCTGTATATGGATAAACATATATAAACTAATGAAATTACATCCCTACCTCTCACCATATACAAAATAAAATTAAGATGGATCAAAACCACAAATGAAGTCTTGAAGCCATGGCATTTCTAGGAGACGACATACAGAAGGCACTTTGAGACATTAGTGTAGGCAACGATTTGCTTGGATAAGATTCCAAAGTGTAACAAAAGCAAAACTAGAAAACTGGGATTATATCAAACTTAGAAGTTTCTACAGAGAAGAGGAAATAACCAGTACAATGAAGAGGCATCTAACAGAAAGGGAGAGAATATTCGCAAGCTACTAATCAAGCAAAGGATTAATATTCAGAATACACTGGGAACAACAACAAAAAACCCTCAATAACAACAGCAGCAAAAATCCAGTTAAAAATGAGTGAAAGATTTGAATAGGCATTTCTCAAAAGAAGAATGACAAATGGCCAACAAACATGAAGATGATCAATATCACTAGCTATCAGGAAATTGCCAATCAAAACAACAATGAACTTACCTCTTTACCTGTCAGAAAGTCTAGTATCAAAAAAAAAAGAGAAAATAACAAATGCTGGCAACGATGTGGAGAAAGGAAAACTCCTGCACACTGTTGATAGCAATGCAAACGAACACAGCCACTACAGCAAACAGTGGGCAGATTTCATAAAACAGAATTGCCTTATGACCCAGCAATCCTACTGCTAACTAAATATATCCAGAAGAAATGAATTCACTGTATCACAAATACCTGCTCACGCTTACTGCAGCAGTGTTTACAACAGCCAAAATACGGAATCAACATATGCCAGTCATCCAACGAATGCATAAAGAAAATATAACATATATGTGCATATATATATGCAATAAAGAGGAATAACATCCTGTCATTTGCAACGAAGTGGGTGGAACTGGAAGACACAATGTTACGTGAAATAGACCAGATGTAGAAAGGTAAATACTGGATATATTGCCTCATGTGTGGGAGATAAAAACAAAATAAACAACAACAACAAAAAAACAAACAGGGGAGGGAAGAATATAGGGATTTTGGATAATAGGTGATAATCAAAATCAGAATGAAAGAGTTCCTAGTGTTGCACAGTTCATAAAAATGTACTACATATTTTTAGAATAAATTAGAAGGGAGAAGTTTCAGACCTCTGATGATAAATATCCGAGAAGGGGAAACGCTGATAACCCCATTTTGCTAATGTATGTGATTGACTATCAAACTGTAGTTCCCACATGTATATAATTACTGTTAATTGTAGCTTTAAAAAAAAAATCATGAAGGCCAGAAGGAAAAGGCACAATGATTTCTAAAGTGCTGCAATCTAGAAGCCCAAAGCAGGGTCTTTGAAACATGACTACCCTAAAGTAAGGGCTACAACATTCAAAAGCAGGAAGGAAAAGATAAAAGGAGGAATCTTAGAATATCAGGAAAGAAAAAAGTACACAGCAAACAAAAATACAGATAAATACAATGGGCTTTCTTCTTGGCGTGTGTTTAATTGTATCTGATGAACGAAGCAAAAATACAACACTGATATTTTGCAGATAAATGTAAAGAAAAAAGCTTCACATAATTCTGTTATAAATGGATGAGGGTACCCGAGCTGTAGGCAGCAGCCTAGGTTGCTTTGTACCTAGGCAAGTGTTAAAACAGATGGGGAGAAAAGCAGCCAATAGCAGACAGGCATCTTGGGCTTGGTTGATGCCAAATTTGTGTTAACTATACCAGTATGCCAGCATGCTCACCTATTCTATTTTTTTTAAATTTTGCTTTCTAATATTTTTGAAGATACATGCAGGATTTGGCACCGCAGGTCCCCAGCTGGGATAGGGCTGGTCTGCACGAGCACCATTTGGCACATCCCATGCACTCCTGGGCTTGGGAACTGTGGATTGACCATGGAGAGGGGCAAGGGAATGTGTGGGAGGGAGGACCACTGAGGGAGTATGTTGCAGGTGAGGAATGACTTCTGAGGGACTTCCACTGACAAGGCCACTGTACTTGCTGCGGAATGCATGTGTCAGAACTGGGTCTCCTCAGTGGCTCAGAGTCATGGACAGCATACTAAGACACACATAAAGGACAAGGCAGCCCACTGGGTCCTGCAGAGCACATCTGATACCGTAGCAGAGGATAAAGGACAGAATGAATTGGACAACTACCCCAGTCAGGTGTTGACAACAAGTATCTGGGTAAGATACATCTAATACTATTTAAAATCAATCAAAAAAGGAAATTCTTTAGGTGTAACTTTAACAAACATGAACATGAGAACTGCACATGTTTAAAAGCATAAAATGCTCATAAAAGAAACCAAAGATTCAAACAATTTAAGACAAATTGTGTTCCTGCACTGGAAGACTCAAAGCAATAAAAAATGCTAGTTCCTCAAGTGGATTAACATTTAATAAAATTGCTATAAAAATGCCCACAAGAATTTCTGAAGATACAAACTTGTTGACACTAAAATACAACAGTTTTGAAAAGGAAGAACAAAGTGGGAGGAATTAATCTTAAGTAGGTTCAGGATTCAGTCTGTAGTTTCAGGACTCAGTCTGTACTAATGAGACACTGGCATTGATGGTGGGATAGACAGAACAAAAGAACAGAAAATCTAGACACAGATTCAGACAAATATGTCCAAATGATTTTGGCCAAGATCAAAAGCACATCAGAGGAAGAGAAAACAGTTTCAACAAAGGGTGCTAAAGCAAATAAAAAGACAAGATAGAGAATGGGAAAAAACATTTGCAAGCTGCATACCAAACACAGGGCTAGTGTCCAGAATATGTAAATAACTCTCAAACTCTACAGTGAATAAGCAAACAATCCTAGTCAACAATCATCATGAACAGGCATTTTACTGGAGAAGATACAAAGAAAGCAAACAAACAGCGAAATGACATACCATTCTACGTTAACTGCTGCCATATATACACAGATTAATTCTAGGGTTTACAACTTGTCATCCACCCAAAACATATCTACACTGTGTCGCAGTGAGGACAAAAGGGGAGGAGCACCTAGTAGGTCCTTTAGTTATTTCTCTATTTCAAGTTCATGAGAGAAAAGGGGGTCACAGGTGAAACATGAATACAAACCAGCTTCTCCTTCAACTTCCTTTTTCTTTACTCTTTTAATCTTCTTCTTTAGGACTTTCAGGAGGAAGTTAGCAAATTTATTGTTTTCTCCAACGGCTGCTTGGAAACCAGCATAAAGTGCCTTTTCTTGCTCCTGGAGCTTAGTGATTTCATTCTTTTTCTCTTCCATCTCTTTAAGAGTTTCATTTATTTTCCACTAAATGGATAAGAACAACTGATAAATGTTTCTGATATACCAGATCCAGAGAGCAATGTACTTAACAACACAAAGGTGCAGACTACAAACACTTCAAAAGATTGTTAAGGTTTTTTTTTGTTCATTCTAACTTATCTAAAAGGCAGAAAGAGAGAGAAAGAGATGGTCCATCCACTGATTTACTCCCTCAGTTCCCCACAATCACTAGGGTTAGGTTAGGCCAAAGCCAGGAGGCTAGAATTCACTCCAGGATTTCCACATGGATGACAGGAACCCAAGCCCTCCAGGCACTGCCTCTGCCTTCCAGCGAGCACACCAGCAGGAAGCAGAGGAACCAGGATTCATTCAAACCCACTCTTCTGAGAAGGGATGCCAGTGCCTGAGTTACAACCTATACTACTGCTACACATCCAATGCTGCTTCCAAAAAATGAATTATGAGAAGTTTGCATTTCTGACATTTGTAGAGTCATCTATTTATTTGATTAAAATTTGATAATCTTTTCATAAAATTCATTTTGGTCGGGAACAACTTTTTAAAGTTTGGTTTCTTCAAAAAAAAAAGTCTAAGTAAAACAAATTGGGATTTTTATTGGTATCTGTATGTCAGTTAATATTTTTGCATATATGGGTTCAACAGAAGTTAGCTTTGTATGCTACATGATAACTAAAACAAAAAAATGCATTCTTTTTAATGAAGCTGAGAAACCTAAAAGCTGCTATAACTACTTATTCTATAGTATCTATTTAATGAAGCCCTTCTTTAAAAAAATAGTATAACTTATTTACTTAACATATATATAACAATGAACTCCATTTCCTATGGTATTCAATTACATATTACATTGAAATTTGCTATCATACTGAAGAAACCCATCAACTTCTAGGGATGTTTAAGAATAAAATACATTCAAACTCAATTTGATATCTGGTGACAAAACAGATTTCTGAATTCCATAGATAAAGAAAATACAAGGCTCACTTTCAAAAATTTCATTTTTTCTATCTTACAAAGTATGGGCTCAAATTCACACAGACACATAATCTGTCATTTCTTTGTGACCAAGGATACTAAAAATGGGGAATAAACAGATTCAACGGGACAAAAGAGGGAGAAGACACAAGAAAGAGATGAAGGCAAGATCAAATGGAAAAATGAAATGAAGAAAAAGAAGAATCGAGTCTCTTGTGAGGACAGGTGCAGCCGGCTAGGTTTCTGCTGCTCTCTCACCTGCATGTCCTGCTCCTCCTTGTCTAGCAAATTCACACGTTCTTGAAGTATGTTCTCCTGCTTTTCATAATTCTTCAGGAGAAGCATTTCTTGAAACAATGTGAGATGGTGCAGGTCTGATAATTTCATCTGGGTGTCTAGTTTCAGTTTCTGATGTCTCAGGAGTCGGAGTTCAGCGTCAAAAGTGATGATCAGTTCTTTGATCTGAGGTGGAAGAAAGAATAGGTAAATACATTTTTTAAAAAGGTTCATTTTTATTGGAAAGACAGATTTACAGAGGGAAGCAGAGACAGAGAGGAAAATCTTCCGTCCGTTCATTAACTCCCCAAGTGGTCACAATGGCCAGAACTAGCCGATCTGAAGCCAGGAGCCAGGAATTTCTTCCAGATCTCCCATGCAGGCGCATGGTCCAAAGGCTTTGGGCTGTCTTCCACTGGTTTCCCAGGCCACAAGCAGGGAGCTGGAAGGAAGGTGGAGCAGCCAGGAAATAAACTGGCACCCATATGGGATCCTAGCACTTGCAAGATGAGGGTTTAGCCAGTGGGCTATCACACTAGGCCCACAAACGCACTTTTATAACATCCAAAAATTTTAACTTATTTCAAAGCATTTTTTCATTATGCATGGATGAAAGTTGTATATCAATGATAGTTGTGTGTGTGTTTTGTGTTGTGTTGAGTGTGCATGATGTCACAAAATTCATTAATGGTAAGACTGGTGTGATAGCATGGCAGGCTAAATTCCACCTGTGTTGCTAGCATCCCATATGGGTGCCAGTTTGTATCCTTGCTGCTCCATTTCTCATCCAGCTCCCTGTTAATATGCCTGGAAAAGCCAAAAAACGAATGGCCCAATTGCTTGGACCTCTGTACCCATGAGATCAGAAGAAGCTCCTGGCTTCAGATTGGCCCAGTTCTGGACGTTGCAGCCATTTGGGGAGTGAGGTAGCAGATGGCAAATCTCTTTTTTTCTCTGTCTCTGTCTCTCCTTCAGTGTGTAACTTTACCTTTCAAACTACAAATAAAATCTTTTTTTAAAAAAAACCCTCGTTAATGGCATTAAATGTACACATTTATTAAGTGGTAGATATTCTATAATTAAATTTCTCCCAGCTATTTTGTATCACTGACTGATTCATTGATGAAGAAGGACCTTCTTGCCCCAGCTGTAGGCAAATGCCTAGATAGCTCTGAGGCAAGAGTTAACACTGAGAGACAGATCTGCCATCTGCTGCTTAACCACCTGAAAGGCCCTAAGTGCCAGAGCCGGGCCAGGTTGAAGCCAGGAACTCCATCCGGGTCAACTACTTGGGCCATCTCCTGCTGGATTTCTGATGGAGCAAAGAGCTAGATGAGAAATGGAGTAGCTGGGACACAAGCCAACTCCCATTAGAATGCTGTTGGCAGTTTTACAGGCTATGCCACAGTGCTGACTCCTAGAAAAACAAACACACACACAAAAAGTTTAAAGTCCTGGGGTTAGCACAGTTATTTAAAATTATTTCTAGAAAACTAAAGACAGAGAGGAAGACAAGCCTTTTGTGAGTGTTGAGGTGGTCACATGGAGAAATTTCCCTGCTCTTCCCTTTTAGCTTCACCCCTTACCCTGTTAGACAAGTACTGCTGCATGTACAAGTGTTTAATCTCATCCCTCTTCATAATCTCCAGCTCCACATCCGTTGGCTCTGCTTTTCCAAATTCTGCCACCTTGGGAATATCCAGACTGTATACAGATGGTCTTGATGACCTAGATACTGAATCTCGTGTTACCAAATCTGCATCCTTTAAAATTGAATGTCTGAGGAATCCTCCAGCTGAGCTTGCAGACTCCACCTGCTCCACTTGGTATGAACTTTCATCAAGACTTTTCGCACGCTCACGCTTAAAACTTAGGAGAGTTTCTTCATCATAGTGAAATCTCCTTTCTGGAACTTCTTCTGGGTATATCTGAGGTATCTCAGGAATGGGGATGTGTTTGGATTTATCCAGAGACAACTGAATGTTCTTCAGTTCTTGCACCAGGCACTGTATTTCATCAATAACAGCTATTTTAAGATCTCGGAGAGAGAGAATGCACCTGTTCATGTGCATTTTCTTTCCATGGGCCTGAAAAAAAATTAAGAAAAAAGAAGCAAAACAGAGATGCTGTCACGAATAGTCTGAAATGTCACTGGTTCTTATAGCCTGACTGGTAGGTTGACAAAAATTTATGACAGAAATGTGTCTGATTGTCCCTATTACTGCTATTACCCTGTGCTCTTCTGTATAGGCTTTTTTTTTTTTCTCATACAGCTCCCCTAAGATGGAAGGTCAAACTGTGATCTCTGCTACCCCTTGCTTTCCAAAGTGGTCTGTTCAGCTGGCTTGTGGGCCTATGGTGCCTTCCTTTCTCAAGCCACTGTGTAGAAGTCCTTCAGGAAGCTGTGTGCTTAGCAGGATATTCGCCCTCTCCAGGAGGGGAAAGCCTTTCACTGTCTTATTCTACCAGATCTTCTAATTTCTTTGGCTTAATAAGATTCATCCAGGATGCCCACACAGGGGAACCAAACTACAAGGTAGACTCTTTTCACTCTGTTTTGGCCATACAGTTACTGTTACTCCTTGTATAGACAAGATCATGACCCTGAATTTCAGGATCAAATCACACCAAGAGATTCCAGGAGAGATCCTGGGTTAATTCTCCATTTTACCTAAACGAAGTGTACCACTGCCTCTAGGCATGGGACGGTGCTCTATTTACCCACTGTTCCCGCATTACCAGCTTTCTACCTGGGTTCGCTCTTAAATGCCCTCATCAGATCCTAGCCACCCTACCTTATAGCTGCTACTTAGATTACTAGAAGGTCCAAAAGTCATTAGAAGTTACTTTGCAAAAAAGACAATTTTTAAAAATAAGAGATAAACAAATCTTCAGCCTATCAATTTATTTACTATATATAAAATAAAACACTATTACAAGACAGTAAGATAGTTTATAGTCTTAGAAAAATAAACCATTAAAGTTTGGACCACAAAGCCAGGACTCTAAGGGCTGTGAGGTCTACCTTTTTGGACAGCACTCACCCACTAGCTTTATTTTTTTTTTAATTTCTAAAATTCTCTTAAAAATTTTTAAAATTTTATTTTTATTGGAAGGGCAGATTTACAGAGAGAAAGAGACAGAAAGTAAAATCTTCCATCCACTGGTTCACTCCCAAATGGCCACAATGGCCGGAGCTGAGCTAATTGGAAGCCAGGAGCCAGAAGCCTCTTTCAGGGTGCCAAGGTTTTGGGCCATCCTCTACTGTTTTCCCAGGCCACAGACATGGAGCTGGAAAGCGGAGCAGTGCCCACTTGGGATTGGTGTCCAGATGGGATCCGAGTACACGAAAAGTGAAGATTTGGCCACTAGGCCATCACACCCAGCCCAACAAGCTTCATCTTTTCGGATTTCTAAATACTACACAAGCCTAACTCAGGCTGGAGGGCAGGAGAACATATAATACTGGTTTTCAAATGTCTAATGCTTTTTAATGACTTTGGATTTGACCATAACTATGATGAACACTTACTGCTTTTAACCAACGTTTTAACCTTACTTAAGAGGTAGAACAGACATACCTTGTTCTTGTATGAATACCCTTTTCACAGATGAGATAACTGAGGGTTGGGGAGATACACAAGGCTTGGCAACAGTCACAAGGCTGTTAGGCGGCAGAGAAGGAAATAAAGCTCTGGGCTTTTGACTTTAGAATAATGTGGTCTATCTATATTAATTGGTGTCACAATTTAAACGTAACGGATTTCAATGTAATTCAGTTAAGCTCATTCAAGACATTCATGCCTGCCTATCTTCTTTAGCAAGTTTATAAAATTTCAGGTTATCTGACTAATAAGTTGTCGTCACAAGAAAGCTAGAATCTGAGATATAAACAGGCAAGCAATAGGTAGGTAGTTAGCAATTTTAAGTAGATGGATTTAACAAAATAAAAAAAAATGTGGTCTTAAAGACATTTCTCTATGATAATGGATAAAACATGATGAATAAAGAATTATTTTAGGGACCTGGTGCAGTAGCCCAATGGCTAAAGTCTTCACTTTGGACAGGCAGGGATTCTGCATGGGCACTGGTTCTAATCCCAGCAGCCCCACTTGCCATCCAGCTTCCTGCTTGTGACCTGGGAAAACAGTCAAGGACGGCTCAAGGCCTTGGCACTCTGCACCCATGTGGGAGACCCAGAAGAGGCTCCTGGCTTTGAATCAGCACAACTCCGGCTGGGGAGTGAATCAACCAACAGAAAATCTTCCTCTCTATCTCTCCTCTTCTCTGTACATCTGACTTCCCAATAAACATAAATAAATCTTTTTTTTTAAAAAAAAGAATCATTTTAGCTGACAGCTAGAAAAGAAGCAAAGGATCACTAGTAAATTGTCCACAATGTGCATTTTTACTAGGAACGTATAGTTCAAAGCTATAAAAACCTATTTGTGGATATGAGTCATCATGTCAAGATCCCTGTACTATGACATATAAATTATCTTTGGTGAGGTAGAAAAAGGTACTTCTATTTCAGGAAACTTGATTTCTAATTGTCAGAAAATTGTCAAATATTCAAATCTGTGATATCGCTGGCACCCTCACCAATGTGAAGGCTCGAATGGTGCCACCTGCACCACTATACTGGGTGGTCAAGTATGAAATCCTCCTAAATGGCAACTCAGATTCCTTTGAAGCCTGGAAACTTGAAGCTACTTGTCAAGTTCAGGTAGCAATTAGGAATGAGAATAACAGGAAGAGGTAACTTTGAGAAAAAGAGAATCAGAAATCACAATGACAGGAAGCAGTTTGAAAGTGCAGAGAAAAGGACCCAGTGCGATAGTCTGGTGGCTAAATCCTCACCTTGCATGTGCTGGGATCCCATACGGTCACTATCCTGGTGGCCCCACTTCCCATCCAGCTTCCTGCCTGTGGCCTGGGAAAGCAGTGGAGCATAGCCCAAAGCCTTAGGACCCTGCACCCACATGGGAGTCCCAGAAAAAGCTCCTGGCTCCTGGCTTCGGATTGGCTTAACTCCAGCCATTGTGGTCACTTTGGGAGTGAATCATTGGATGGAAGATCTTTCTCTCTGTCTCACCTCCTCTCTGTATATCTGACTTTGTAATAAACATACATAAATCTTTTTTTAAAAGTACAGAGAAAAAGAAAAGATTATACATTAATTGGTTAATATTAAGTTGCCTACAAAGTATTAGTGTTTCCTGCAAAGAAACACTAAGCCAGGGCCTTTTCCTTGAAGTCTTTGTGGGCCAATGGCAGTCAAAAAATAAATCCAGTGAGAATTTGTATGAATTTCACAGGTAAAAAGCCTACAAAATAGTATAACTCTTTGATCCAAGAAATTGGCAACGAGTCATAAAATTAACATGAAGACTGGTTACTGCTATAGCATGTGATGGATCTTAGAGGAGTTTCTTATCTCCCTGGATCTCATTCCTCATTTGTAGGATGGACATGCCAGATGATCATCAAAGTCCTTTTCAGTCCTAAATTTCTGCGGCTATGCCTTCTAATGGACCAGATACAGCAATGAGTGGCTTTTGGAAGAAAACAAAAACCAAACACACAACAACCACTACCCCAGGAGATTTCCTGTCACCATGTCTATAACCTAAGTACCATGGAATCCAGTTGTCCTAGTTCCTCTTCCTTCTTGGCAGCATTTATTCTCATGTGTTCTGGTATCTTATAGTCTGGGGCAGTCTTCAGATTGAAATCTCCCATGAACACTTGGGCTTCTTTGATTGCTTGGACATCTTTAGGGTCTTCATAGTCATCGCCAGGCTTACTCCTGTATCTATCAGAAACACCAGGCACAAGTACAACAATGAGCTCCAGCATATCTGGTTTATATGGATACAACTTTAAATCCAGACATGAAACCAAACTATAACCCTATTTATGGGGCAGAAGCCAGTAATTATTTTTAAAGCATCCCAACCAAAATACATAAAGAAATAGGGGCTGGTGCAGTGATACAGCAAACTAATCCTTTGCCTGCAGCACCAGCATATCATATGGCTGCCAGTTCATATACTGGTTACTCCACTTCCAATCTAGCTCTCGAGTAATGGCCTAGAAGAGCAATGGAGGATGGCCCAAGGCATTGGGACCCTGCATGCATGTGGGAGACCTAGAAGCTCCTGGATCCCAGCATGGGATCAGCTCATCTCTGGTCACTGCATCCACTTGAGTGAGCTAGCAGATGGAAGACCTCTCTGTGTGTGTCTCCCTCCCCTTCTCTTTCCCGACAACTCTTTCAGGTGAAATAATTAAATCTTGAAAAGAGAGTGAGAAAGGTCAATTAAATTGTACTGAAATCACTTGAGTCACTGCTAGGTTTCTGGTCATTTTTAAGTAATTCACATCAAAAGTTCTTTAATCTAAATTAATCTAGTTGTAATCTAAAACATCCTAAACTTTTTTTAAAAATCACTAAAAAGTTAATTAGACTTATTTTGTTATATAATAATTTTCATAAAACTTTCACAAAAGCCTTTGTGCTCAATATGATAGCTTGAACATATACCTCCCCCTTACCCCAAATTACATAGAGATGGCTATAAAGAGGTGTAAAAAGTAAATTACTTAGAAAGTGGATAGAAACATATGAGAAAACCAGTAATACTGTCCACATTTTTGGAAGACAGAAAGAAGATGAAATTATAGCATTGAATAAACCTGGACAGAGAAAACTATACGCCAGAATACTCACCGGAAAAGGCTACCAAAATCTTTGAAAGTGATCCTCTTGGCAGAGCCCCTAGGAGGCCCAAAGATCAAATGGAATAGGTTTAGAAAATGGAGTGAAACGGAATGAAATGCTGATGCATTTGGGAAAATAAAGCAAAGGGTATAAATAGAATGTGCGAAGTAGCGAGAGCCTTCCAACTTTCCCATGTGCACATACATGTAGCAGGAGCAATCTTTATACCCAGATGAAAACTGAGAATCTGCTTCCTGCAGAAAATCAATGCCCTGTTGGAAACTACTAACACGTATGAGGGTATGCGTAACAGGCCTTTAGTTAACAGACCCCAACATGCCTGCCTGATTCTTTATAACAAAATTCGTCAGCCAACATAAACACATACACAAAGTCTGCAGTCAGTAGTTTCCCATGGGAGAAAGCCCTTCTAGAAAACAAACATGAAATACATGGGAGGAAACCCAAACGTCTATTGCATATTCACTGACAGTCGTTCACCTGTGCAAAGCTGCACCCTCTAAAAGAAAAGCTCAGTGTTTTTTAAGGAAGAGAAGAAGAGTTACTTCTGCTTCTGACCAAGTTAAAAAAAAAAAAAAACAGTGCCCACAATTATCCTTAGTGAGGTAACTGGAAAAATGGTAAGAGTTTTATTTCTAGATTCATTTTTATGTCTCTTCTGAGTTAGTATCAAAGTAATGCTAGTTTCATGAATTGAATTAGAAGTAATTTTTCCTCTTCTATTTCCTGGAAGAACTAACTTATCAGCTTCTTGCTAATGAATCCTTGGAGGCAGTGAGTGATGCGATGCCTTAGCTGGATGTGTCCCTGCATATCCACACGAGACAGAATGAGTTCCTGGTTCCTAGCTTTGGCTCTGCCCAGTCTGCTTGTTGCAGGCCTTTGTACACTAACAAATGGAAGAGATCTTTCACTCTCACTCTTGCTCTCTACTCTAACTCTAGCTCTCTGTCACACATTGTAACTCTTAGTTTTTAAATTGAGAAATCTGTACCTAGACTAAGAAAAAGACTCAATTTCAGAAATGAAAGACATGACAAGTGATATCCCAGAAATAAAAAGAACCAAAAACGATTCATGCTAACAAAATGGAAGAGAGGGAAGTGGAGGGAAGTGGAGGGGAGTGGAGGGGAGTGGAGGGGAGGGGAGGGGAGGGGAGGAATGGAGGAGAGGAGAGAGGAGTGGAGGAGAGGGAGGAGAGGACTCTTTCATCCGCTGGCTCACTCCCAAGTAGCTGGCCCATGACACAGGCAGGAGTCCAGAGCCCCATCTATTTCTCATACAGGGGTGGCAGGGACCCAACTCCTAGGCACAGTCTCTGCTGTTTTCCCATGGAGCTGTAAATTATCAGGAAACTGGACTAAAAGTGAAACAACCAGGATTCCAAACAACACTCCAATAACGGGATGTGGGCATTCTAAGGAGCAGCTTAGTACTACACCACAATGCCAAATGCTTATTAACAGAAATTCTAAGCCCTCAAAAATACTAGAAACTGAATCCAACATCATTGCAGCCTGACCAAATTGGATTATCCCTCAGATATAAGGAGAGCTCAACATACTTAAATCACTTACTTTTTTTTAAGGTGGGTAAACTCTACCTGGGTCTCCAACATGGTGGCAGGGACCCAAGATATTGGGCCATCATTTGCTGCCTCCCCCAGTGCATTAATATGAAACTGGATTTGAGGCAGAACAGCTGGGATTTAAACTGGCACTCTAATAGGGGATGACAGCATTTTAAGTAGAGGCTTAATCCACTGAACCACAATATTCCAGCAACACCAGCCTGAATAGAGTTCTTCAATCCTTCAAATTCACTGAGTATGTGAGTAAAATGGAATGCTGGGACTCAGAATTCTATGAATCAAGGAAGTTCCAACAGGAAATACCACTATCTTTAAAGATCCTTCTGGGGGCCAACTTGGTAGTGCAGCAACCTAGCCCTTAATCTGTGGTGCCAGCATCCCATGTGAGTACTAGTTCTAGTCCTGGCTACTCTATTTCCAATCCAGCTCCCTCATGGGAAAGCAGCAGAGGATTTGGCTCAAGTCCTCAGGCCCCTAAACTCATGTCTCTGGCCGTTGTGGTCATTTGGAGAGCGACCCAGTAGATGGAAAGCCTGTCTGTATCTCTTCTCTGTAAAATCTGCCTCTCAAATAAAAGTAAATAAATCCTTAAAAAAAAAAAAAACCCTGCTAACTTGTCTTTAAGATTTCCAGCTTTGCTTTGATTTCTTTCACTTTCATTTTTAATGATAATAAGTAGAAACATTTTAAAGATAAAGTTGGGGTGTTCACACTCTAAAATGATATGGATTTTTAGTTAAGAAAAACTTACAGTTCCTCCCATTCTTTTTTGCGCTGCTGTATCTTTTGCTGGGCCTTTTCAGCCTTTAATATCAGTTTCCTTGTTTTTTCTATTTGATTTTCTATCATAATTTCACTTAGCGTTCTAGGCCGAACTTTCTTCTCTTTTTCAATTATTGCTTCTTCAATTATGCTAACGCTTTCACCTGTCCAGAGAATCATTTTTACAGTGTTTTTGAGGCATAAACCCAAAATTCTCAAGTATTGCTTTAAGCTGCCACATTAAAAATCCAGAGAATACATAAAATTTTAATCAAAGTATTTATTGAGTAACCACTATGTATTTCAATCCCATAAATACAGATGCACATTAACTTATGACAGAGTAGATTTATGACTATCTATTTGTAACAAAAATGCATTTAACAATTTACAATACATCACAGCTTAACTTCGTCTACCTTACATATGTTCCAAATGCTTACATTAGGTTACAGTTGGACAAAATCATCTTACATAAAGTCTATTTTGTAACCAATTATTGAATATCTCATGCAATTTAATGAATATTATACTAAAAGTAAAATACAGACTGCTTTTTTGGTTATACCTTTGTAACATTATAAAGCTAAAACATCATAGGTGAATCAACATTAGAAACTACCTGTACAATGAAATGCCAAAATAAAGAAATCTAAGACATAAATCTTGATCTTATGAACATTATTAAAAAGTTGCCAAGATAGAAGATATATATTAAACAACTAGAGAATGAGTTACATAATGATGGGCAACTTAAAGTTATTGGGAAGCTGAGAAGGAATATAAGGTATGATAATGGGGACAGGGGAAGAAGCAAGAAATCCTATATGACACATTATCAAATGTGGCATATGCCAATTTGAGTAGTCTGGCTAATTAAAAAATCAGAACCAACTAAATCTATGACTTAAAAGTTCTTTGCTTTGTCAATTAACAAGCATCCACTGGAAAAACTATGCTATTCATGTTCAAGTTATATAGCAATAAACTTAAAATAAACAAGAACCTCTCTCACCCCTGAAAAAAACCCAAATAATACGAGAGAGCTATTATAGCTATAAGTCACCATTTCATATTTCAAATACACAAAACAGTCCAGATGTGCATCCAAAGAGGAGTGGTTAAAGAAACTGTGGTACATCTACTTCATGGAATATTACTCAGCCATTAAAAATAATGAAATTATATAATTTGCAACTGGATAGTCCAAACTGGAGATTATTATACTCAGTGAAATAAGTCAGTCCCAAAAGGGCAAATACCATATTTTCTCTCTAATAAGGAAATTATCTGGCAAATTTTAAGTTCAATATCCCTTTCCATACTGTTTTGCTGCATCCCAATGTGTTTTGATGTTTTTTATTTCATTTTCAATTCTTCCAAATGGTTTCTTTTCTCTTGTTGAATTCATCACTGGCTCATAAACTGCACAGTGGCACCATTTTACCCAAGAGGCTTCTGTGTTTTCTTTTCATCACCCATGCGTTGGTTAGTCAGTGGTATGCTTTTTCAACTCCATGGTGCTATAATTTTGTTGTTGTTTTAACTTCATACCTGTTGTTGACTTTGTTTCATGGCTTCTCACTTAAGGGAACGTATAGTGAATGCATAGTAGACACTATCATATCCAAATGTGAAGATACAATGCAATATGCATCTCTACTTTCAAATCAAAGATGGACTCCCAATGAAACTGTTGGACATATAGACAATAGGATGCTGGACTGTCTGACATTATCTGGACCAGCCATTTTGGGACACACTTAAATAACAGACTGATGGAATCAAGACTGCTTATGAAGGACTATACTGTTAATAATATGGGGAAAATCAGTCGGGAGTAGAAATTTGGGCAGGAGGTAATCCCAGACCCTGTGGAATTGTACCATAAAATTCAAAATAAAAAACAAAAGTTGTATATGGAAAAAGCAGCATGCAGTGCTCTCACTCATTCTCAATCACACGATCAGGATGGCATCAATGACAACAGCAGGCAAAAGCATTTGCTATTCTCAGCCATACCACACAGCTGCATCTCTTTGGAGTATTTTCTCCAAAGGATATCGAGGATGGAAGTAAAGAGAAGAAACTGAGCTCAAGTCAGCAAAGAAAGTTCAAAGATTCATATCACCAAAAGACAATTTAGCTTTCACGTCTTAATAAACAAGAGCTGAAAGGGTCTATTGTGATTTAATCTACCTGTTTCTCTCCTGCTATCCTTTTTTCCAAGTCCTTCCTTCTCAAACCTCTCAAATTTGCTTGGTCTTCTCTCTGACTGACTTGATCGCTTGGATTTGGAGTACTTGGAAGGCTTCACCAGCCTATAGGAAGATATCTTGTGGTCACTTTTGATGGCATGAACAACGACAATATCACCTTCCAGTGTATCACGGAATCTGAAACAATAAAACAAGTGTTTGTAATAATCACCATCTTAATCACTCTGCATAATTAAATAAAGTAGGTCTATACTATATACTGCTGCCATAACTAATATCTTTCTGTTCTGTGAGGTTCAACATGTAACAAGTTGGATCTACTTTGATTAAAGGTCAAGTAGAAATTATTTCTAACATAAAAATTGATACTGCTACTGTAATAATTTGTGAAAAAACAGTTTGCAGGCTGAATATGGTTTAATGTCAGATAGAATAGTTCGTAATACATTCTGAGGAAATATAATTCACCTTATGAGCTATTAGATACAGCAGATCTATTTTGGGTATGTATTATGATATACAGATATACAATATAGCAATTTTAGAAACAAGCACAGAAATATGTATATGTGAGTGAGGGTTTCCTAGATTGAAAAGTGGGAAACAATTTGTGACGTTTATTTTTCAGAGATTAAAGACTGTGCACCTCATCGAGGCACTTAAAACATATTTTTTTCTTAAATTACCTGGAGTGTGTGTATAAGAGTGTGTTTAACACATTTCTTGGTAAGAGGTAAATCGTGGGGAACAGATCGTGAACAGTTATCTGAAATGTATGACCTACTCCTACTCTGCCTCTTAGCTCTTTATTCTTAAGGGCATTTCATGGAACCCCCAAATATATGTATGATTCCAATTTCTATAAGCTTTTTAAAGTGCTCTCATATAAATACATATTCATAAATACACTACACTATTTATTGAAGCCAAAGATGGGCTGCTATGTTGAGAATCCTTTCTGATAGGAACGTCTCATCCACTTTCATTTCATAATTCAAGCATTTAAGTATTATCCAGAAATTCAAACATTCACGGATTTAATACCAGAGAACAAGTGCACAGGTGAATCCCAGAGTGAAGTTAGCTACACAGGAAGATGAAATTCAGATAAAGGTTCCCTCCCAGCATTCAGATAAGTATTGATGAAAGAAATATTTAAGATTATGTAAAAGTACCCAGAACCCATAATGTAAAATTCACAATGTCAGGCATCCAATGCAAGCTTATTAGGCAGGGGAAAAAGCAGCAGAATATGACCCCAAATTAAGAGAAACTTGTCAATAATAACCGACCCAGAAATGACACAAATGATGTAAATTATCAGATAAGAATATTAAAATAATTGTACTTTTATGTTCAGGAAGGTATAGGAAACAATGAGCATTTTAAAGTAAGCAAAATCAAGGCAGGTGTAGTGGCTTAGCCGGCTCATTGTCCACTTGCATTGCCAGCATCCTATACGAGCACCAGTTTGATTCCCAGCTGCTCTACTTCTGATCCAGTTCTCCGCCTACAACCTGGGAAAGCAGTGAAGGACAGTCCAAGTCCTGGGACCCTTGCACCCATGTGGGCGACCTGGAAGAGGCTCCTGGCTTTAGATCAGTTGAGTTCTGGCCATTGTGACCATTTAATAAGTGAATCAGTAAATGAAAGATCGATCTCTGTCTCCTTACCTCCCTATAAATTGGCTTCTCAAGTAAAAATGAATAATTTCTTTTAAAGTAGGCAAAATTCTCAGCTATAATACCTGGAAGTCAACTTTTAAAATGGTAAACAAAAAAACTTTACAGGCATATTATTCAGATTTGTGGTTAAAGTCACTAGAAGAAATATTAAGTTTGATTCTGCTCACAATATTATAACTATGGTTATAAAGCCTTAATATTTATTTTATTTCTACTTCTATATATCCAATGTAATTTCAATCAGAATCCTAGCAAGCTATATATATATATATATATATGTATATACATGTACACACATATATATACATATACACACACACACAATTTAGATCTTGCAGCAACTGAGTCACTCCTCAAATACTCACAGAAGTGGGGGCTGGGCCAGGCCAAAGGCAGGATCCTGGAACTCAATCTGGGGCTCCCATGTGGGTGGCAAAGACCCAAGTCCTCACACCACTACCCATTGCTTTGCAGTGTACACATGAGCAGGAAGCTAGATTTGATAACAGAGCCATGGTTTTGAACCCAGACACTCCGAGAGTGACAGCTGGGTCCCAGAATGCCATCTCAATTGCTGTACCAGTCTTATTAGAAGACTTAGTGTGAGAAGTGATGAAGAACTGAAGGGCAAAGCCAGAAAATTTACGATTTTACACATCAATAATTAAGACAGGATAATGCAGTGTAAGGATAGAAGGTCAATGAAACATGAGGGGACTTCAAAGAGCCCATGGAAAATGTATAACAGTCAAAATTTTTTGGCACCAAAATCCCAAATGAAGTTATCTCTTAAATTCATTTTTCCTAGTACTTTTGAAATTCCCTCATAGAACAAAGATTTCAGAAACAGACCCAGTAAAATATGGTTAACTGATTTCATCACTGCAATTTAATGAGAGCACTATAATCTTTCCAACAAAAATGATACTAGGTCTACTGGATATTGATAGAAAAACAAAGGAGGCTCGACCCTTACCTAACATCATCTACAACCACTACTCAAAATGGATAATGGGAAAATAGAACTTGGAGAAGAAAAAGTACAGCTATTTCTTGAATTAGGAGTAGGCAACGATTCCTTAAATACAACACAGAGGCATTAACCTTTTCTTAAATTTTATTTTTGATGATTTTTACATACTAGTCTAGGTTGCAAAGGGTCAAGGGCTAGAGGAAAGTGGGTGAGACTATTGTTTCCACATTCTCTTTTTTCCTTTCTGTATCTGGGGGAAGGACCACCCCAGGGTCCCTGATGTGTAGCATGCTCTGAGGGTCCTGCTCAAGAGATTTTCATAGTTTAACAGTTCTGAATTGCTGCTAATCTTGCCACTCTAAGCATGATGAAATCTCTCCAGAATCCACTGGCTGACATAGAACACCTTAGAGTCTCCATTTGCCTAGATATTCACTGCCAACACTTGGCTGGGGTATTTGAACAACCTGTTCTGTCCTTCATCCTCTGTTATGGTACCAGGTGTCCTCTGTAGGTTCTAATGTACTACCATATCCTCTATGTGCAACTAGACATGTTGTCCACTGCTCCATCTAAGCCACTGAGGAGACCCAGCTCTGACACCTGCACTTCAAGGTCAGACCATGGATCTGCAATTCTCTCCATGGTTGGAGTTCTGAGTCCAGTGGTTCAGTTGGGGACATCTCCAAAGAAACCTCATCCGAGGCGATCCCAGACCTGATTCTTGTATGTGCTAGCCATTGCAGGGTCCATCACAGTTCATCACCCAACTATCCTAGGCACATGCCAGTAGTTGCTCTGATCCAGCTTGGCATAGTCTCTACCCTGTCTTGACCTTTGCCTTTCGGTGCTGCAGCCTGACCTGACCCAGCTGGTCCCCAAACCCAACTCTTGCTGGCAGGTGCTGTAACATGGCCCTGTTCAATCTGCTCCCATTCTTGGCTCATGCAAACCAGCAGGTGTGATAGCCTAGCCCAGAATGACCTGCAGCCCTGGTTTCTATACTTGCCAGTGGACTAAGGTCTGCTTGGCCCTGCCTGGTCCACCCTCTTCCAAAACCAACCCACACACTTGCCAACAGATAGAGCTACTTGCCCAGCCTGCCCAACACCCAGGCCTGAACCATGTGATTACCAGCGGGAGCTATGACCAACTGAGGGAGTTGCTCAGAGTCCCCTACTTGGCTCACTCCCCAGCCCAGATCTCACACATGCCAGTGGATGTCAGGTCCCTACCCCACCTGGCCCCTCCCCTCTATCCCAGCCTTTGTATGAGCTGGTGGATGTTGTGGCCTGGCCTGATCCACACCCTGTTTTAGGGTGCACATGTGGGTACTACAGCCTGTACCTGCCCAGCCTGTTCCCAGCCCCAGTATCTGTGAGTGTTGGCAGATTCTATGGTCACACCTTGCTCAGCCCATCACCACCCCAGTCATTAAGCTAACCAGCGGAACTTATATTTCCAGTGTTAGGTCCATATATCCCTTACAGAATCTACCCCTGAACCTGGTACTCTTGAGTGCTGGTTAGTGTCATGGCCCAGCCTAATGTGACCCATCCCCGGTTCCAACACTCACTGTCAGGTACTGGGATCTAGCCCTGCCAAACAGGCTCCCAGTCCTAGTTTTCATGTAAGTTAGCGTGTGGTGGTCAGCAATGTTCTGTACTAATAAGCCCAGCTTAGAATTCCCATGTGGGCTGGTGCATCAGTCTGATACATAAAGGATTTCTGGTCTCTCCCCTCCAAACCACCAGGTCTCAATCCTCTTGCTTACCTGCAAGTATAGAGGTCTTGTCATTGAAAGTCCCTCTGGAGTCATTCCTCACCTACACGTATGGTGGACTTATGCAATGATGTCCCTCAGCAGTAATTCCCCATCTGGGCATGAATCCACAGATCATTGCTCACCCTCACCTGTGTGATCCCCCAGTCTCCATGCAAAAACACAACCTCAAGATCCACAGAGCACATCGCTGAGTGGCTCAAGGGTTTCACCCAGTGCCATTGGTGCACAGGCCACCTGAGCACTGCCTGACTCCAGAGGTATTAACTTTAAAAGAAAAAGACTTGGGCAGGCATTGTGGCAGTAGGTTAAGCGGTCAATTGGGTTTACCATCAGAATGTTGATTTGTGTCCTGGCCACTCTGCTCCAATCCAGGTTCTTGCTAATACAAGGGGGAGGCAGCAGGTGATGGCTCACACAGTCGGGTCCCTACTACCCATGTAGCAGAGGCAGATGGAATTTCTGGCTGCTGGTTTCAGCTTAGTCCAGCTATGGCTGTTGTGAACATTTAGTAAGTGAATCAGTAGATAGAAAACTTTTTCTCTTCTCTATTTCTCCCTCCCTCTACTGTTTTCCCAGGCCACAAGAAGGGAGTAGATGGGAAATGGAGCAGCCAGGACACAAACTGGAACCCATATGGGATCCCGGCAGATGCAAGTTGAAGATGTAGCCACTAGGCTATTGTGCTGGACCTAAGTAACTTACTTTTTTTGTTTTTTTAAATTCTATTTTTGATGATGTATACATAGTTGATCAGGGTGGGAAGGGGCAAGGATCAGGGGATAATGGATGAGACAATTGTTTAAACATTTTTTTTCTTTTTCCTTTACATGGGGGAGGGAGGTTTCCTTTTGTTCCTTTTTCTTTCTTTCTTTCTTTCTTTTTTTTAAAGAACTGGTGCCCAAATGGAATCCTGGCACTTACAAGGTTAGGATTAACCAATTCAGCCATTGCATCAGGCTCTTCCTTTTACTTTTTAAAGCCTCCTCATATATAAAACCAGAGCCACATTATTCAGAATATATAAATAACTCCTACAATCTAATTTCTTAAATCAACAAAATATTTGACAAAAATCCAACAACTGTACTTTGAATAAACAAAGGACTGGCATTATATGAAAGAGAGCTGAAAATCAATGTTCATCAATTCAAAGCATGAGACACTACTACTGAAGAATGGCCAAACTTTAAAGAGATGACATTCCAACTAATGCCTAGCACAACTGTTACAGTTGTGTGTCTTCCACACAACCCCCACATAAACATGTGATCTCATCTGAAAATGCAATCGTAACAGATTATCAAATTAAAATGAGACCATTAGGATGCACCTTAACCCTACATGACTGGTTTTATTGTAAGAAAAGCTAATTTACACAAAGAAACTGACATGCACAGCAGGAAGATTAAAAGAAAAGACACACAACAGAATGTTACATGAAGACAGAGAACATAAAATGATGCATCTACAAGTGCAACCAACCCCAAGTCTCTTGCAAACCACCAGATGCTCAAAGAGAGACATGAAGGAGATTCATCCTCCTAGTCCCCAAAAAGACCAACTGACTAGCACTTTGATTTTGGACTTTCCAGTTCTAGAACTGTGAAGCAATAAATGATTGCTACTTTTTAAAACTTCTTTTTATTACTATCATTTTATGATACAGTTTCGTAGGCCCTGGGATTTCCCTTCTCCCCTCCCCTATCTCCTTTCCCCCTCACTGAGTTCCCCTGTGTCACTACTATAAGTATAGTTCTTCATAGTCATACATCCATCATTGCGGGCATGGACAATGACAGAGAGTCCAGCATCCTACTGTCAAGATACAGTAAACAGTTTCAGTGGGAGTCCATCTTTAGTCTGGAAGTAGAGATGCATATTGCAATGTAGCCTCACTTATATCCACTTAAATGAAAAGCCACAAAACAAAATCAACAACAGGAAGAAAAAGAAAGAAACTAATAACTCCATGAAGTTAAATAATATGCTACTGCATGACTAATGTGTCGGTGAAAAAATGAAAGAAAATCAACAACCTTCTTGACGAAAATTATGGTACTGTATGATCTATGAGTCATTGAAGAATTTAATCAGAAGAAACTGTTTTGAGGAGATGAAACTAACAAAAAAAATCAAAATCCATGAGATACAGTTTCCACTGATCTTTATTGGTAAAATGTGTCTCCTGTTGGCAACAAATAGATGGGTTTTGTTTTTTAATCCACTCTACTAATCTATGACTTTGACTGATGAGTTTAAGCCATTTACATTCAGGGTTGATATGAATGCGTGGTAATTTGGTCCTGTCATTTTAGGAATGGGTTGTTCATTGATTTAGTCTTCCGTTGTTATTTTACAGGGATGTTCTTCACATTTTCCTTTGGTTTTGGTGGGCACTATTCCTTTCTCTGTCAAGAGAACATCTTTGAGCATCATTTGTAGGGCAGGTTTGGAATAGGCATATTCTTTTAACTTTTCTTTACTGTGAAATAATTTTATTTCATTTTCAAAGACAAAAGAAAGCTTTGCTGGATACGTTACCCTGGGCCAACAATGTTTTTCTTTTAGAATCTGGACTATGTCACTCCATTCTCTTCTGGCCTGTAGTTTTCTGTGAGAGGTCTCCTGTGAGGTTAATTGGCATTCTTTTGTATGTCAATTGATTTTTTTCACTTACACATTTAAGGATCTTTTCCTTATGTTCAATTGAAGAGAGCTTGGTTATCATGTGTCATGGTGAAGACTGCTTTTGGTCAAGCCTGTTGGAAGTTCTGTGCGTCTCCTGAATGTTGTTTCCCAATTCTTTCTCTAGATTAGGGAAATTTTCCTTGATTATTTCATCAAATACATTTGTAAACCCAGCTTCTCTTTCTGCACCATCTGGGAATTCCAAAATGTTGCATTTGGCTTCTTAATAGTGTCTTTCAATTCTTGAATACATTTTTTAGTCTGATCCAGCTCTGAATCCACCCTTTTGTTTGTTTCCCTCTGGTGACAGGGAATATCTTCTAATTTTTCAGATTCTTTCTTCTGCCTCCTTCATTCTATTTTGGAGACTCTCCACTGTTGTTTTAACTTGCTCCACTGTATTCTTCATTTCTGATATATCAGCTTTCATTTGATTCATTTCCAGTGTGACAAATTCCTTGAATTCCTTGAATGCCTGCTTTATGTGCTTCTCGCTGTTGATATGAAGTTTTATAATAAATGTTTTGAATTCTGCATCCCCCATTTTTCTGATGTCTTCCTCAGCGAACTCTGAAGTTGGCAGATGGTTTCACTCCTTTGCAAGGAAATCTTCAGTAATATTCGTTGTATCATTGTCTCTTCTTTTGCTCTTGGTCATTGTACTTTTGGTTATCAGAGTCTTTTCCTTGGGGAAGGTTTCTAAGCTCTGTCACCCACAGGTCTACAGTCGATTTTACTCATTGCAGTGGGTACGTGGCTGTTTGTTTGCAGTCACTTGTGCCACTCCCTCCAGAGAGTTCCAGGTCATGGTTCTTATGTTAGCTAGGTTGTTGGTGGTGCTGATCTTGCCAGAACCTGTTGGCCATTAGGTCTGGGGCCACATGGACTTATTTTGACCTGTACAATGGCATATTCGGTATTATTTTCCTGTGGGACCAGTGCAATGCACTGAGCTCAGTGAGTTCTTGCCAAGCTCAGTGCATGCACAGCTCACTGTTGTCCCTGCAGTCTTAAATTCTTTGCCATGCTGTACGAAACAGCACCTGATGTGCCACTACTAGAGTTCTTGATCTGCTGGCCATCAGGTCTGAGGGCTACCCAGACCTATCTTGGGTGGAACCTGTAGGATGCCACATTGTTGCAGTTCAGTGAGCCAGAAATGAGTTATGATTACTACTTTTTAAAAGATTTATTTATTTATTTGAAAACAGAGTTATAGGAAGGGATACATACAGAGAGAAAAAAAGAAAGAGAACGAACTAGCCTGTCAAACTTTATTACTGCAGCTCTCAGGAATGAATCCTATGGAGGTCAGTACTTTTTACACACTGATGCTCAGACTGTAAGGTAACCCAATCATTTTATAAATCTGGCAATATTCTAATAAACTTAAGCCCATATCACCTAAGGTCTGGCAGTATTCCAACTAGGCATATCACTAACATAAACTTGCATCCATCAGAAAATGTTCGTATAAGCATTTATTCACAATTGCTAAGAAATAGAAACAACTCAGTTATTTATCTAATACACAATAGTTAAATTGTGGTATAAACATTAAGAGAATATTTCAAGCCAATGAGAAATAATAAGTTACTGCTGCATGCCACAACGTGGACAGTCTTGGACAGAGTGGAACAAGCCACATGTGAGGGTTCACACTGTAACAACCCGTCCATAGGAGGCTCACAGACAAAATCCACAACAAAAAGATCCCACTCCAGAGAGAAGGTAGGAAGAAACTTTAAAAAGTTCTTTGAAAATGAAATTTAAACCCATTTTAGCACCAAAAATGTTTGACTCATGCAGTTTTTTATAGCATTAGTTTTTTATGTAGCATTAAAGATATATTTCTTTAAGAGGAAAAGAAACAGACTGTGTGTTGTGTGTGTGCATATGCACAAGCATGCACGCCCACCAGTTTAATCCCCAAATGCATACACTGGCTGGGAAACAGGCAAGTAATTCAAGTCACCCATGTGGATGGCAGGTTCCCAATTATTTGGGTTGGGTATTTTGATGGCATCTGTGCATTTTAACTGCTGGGCCAATTACCTATTCCTGTTTCATTAACTTTTTGAAAGCCCCTCATATTTCTGGAAGAACCATGATAGAACTCTCTAGAATACTACAAAGATTTTTGTATCTTAAACGGAATAGTGGATACATGTGTTTATAAAAGTATATCTGTAAAAAAAAAATTACCAAGTATTCAATTAAGATTTATGTCTTCTACTGTATATACATTTATCTCAGTAAAAAGCAAAAAAGGTAAATTTGTTTCTGGGAAGTTCAATTAATATACATGAGAGAAATTAGGCTGCTATCTTTAATTATAAATCATTTTATTCTACTTGGCTTTTGATTTTTCAAATATATGCATGCTCATGTATTAATCTTACGTAAAATAATCTAAAACAAAGTAAGTATCTATTATACTTTTTTGATATTTTTCAAAGATTTTCAAAATTGTGAAATACACTTCCCACACATAAACTAGAGATGAGTAAACAGCAGTTTCAGGAAGTTATCACTAACAGTGACAGACGGTTTCTTCAGACTTAAACTCCTGGATATTTCAGAAGCCCTTTATCTGGCCCTCCTGTTGATGCTACTGTTACAAATTACTTTATTCAAATAGGTGTTCTCAAACATCTCAAGTTGGAGCAAACAAGGGTCCTACCTATTCTGTAGCTTCTTTAGGCCAAGTTCATGCTTCTCTTTTTCCCAGGCGAGTTCTTTCTCCACTTGTTGAATTTTGTGAGCTGTTCTTCTGCCAATATCAGCACGAATTTTTGAATCAAGATCAAAATCCTGCAGGTAAACAGATTTTTTAAAAATCAAAACAGATGCGTGAGCAATGCTCTGTATAACCCTGCTTCCCACACAAATATGGATTCTTAAATTTTGCCCTCAATTGCACACTATAGATTTCGAACATACATATATATATCATAAATTCTCCATTCCAGAAGTGAAACAATATATTTTTCAATCTTACTTCCATACCATATGGAGAAAAAGCCAAAGCATATTTAGCAAATGAGAATGCAAATAAAGGCAGCATCTAAATATATAAATGTTAACAATATTTGGAGAGTATATAAAGTTTTAATACATAACACCATCATGCCAAGAAACTACTGTTAAATAGCCAATTGGCCACAGGTTGGAAATTCATGGCAGCTCACCATTAGTGGAACATCCCCTCTGTGACTGCACTTAGGAAAGAAGGCAGTCTTTGCTTTTCTTTTCTTTTTTTTTTTAATATAACCACATTCTTGCTCAATGTCCTTCACCAAGTGATTTACTCTTTATTGTTGGTGGAATACAGGCAAGTGTGGCCACTGCAGAAGTCAGTATGGAGAGTGCTAAGAAAACCAAAAATTGATCTACCATATCACCCAGTATCCCACTTCTGGGCATATATACAAAGGAAATGAAAACAACATATGAGAACTACAATAGCAAAGTCACAGAAGTAATACAGATGCCCATAGAAAGAGGACTGGATGAAGAAACTGTGTACATCTACTCTATGGAATAATACCCAACCATTAAGAAGAATGGAATTGTATCATTTGCAACAAAATGGTCCCAACTGAGGCAACTATGCTCAGTGAAATAAGCCAATCCTAAAAGATAAATAGCGTATGTTCCGCCTGATATAAGGCAATTTGCATGTAAAAATACAAGATCAACAGATGTGTAGGCAAAGATGTATATACATCTGGAGGAACTGTATAAGGAAGATTATCATACTAAGAAGCAAAGATGCAGTGCAGTATGCATCTGTACTCCTGAATAAAAGACGCAGTCCTAATGAACCTGTTAAATTTATCTTGACAATTGGATGCTGGACTCTCTGACATTGTCTGTACCTACAATGTCATTTTACACTTAGACAGTAGAATGATGGTCTCTGACTATTGCTGAAGCACTATACTATTGTAGTAATATAAAGGAAAACAGTAGGTGGAAGGGTAAATGGGGAGGATATAAGGGGAAATCCCTGATCCTATGGAACTCTATCATGAAAAATTTTTTAAAAGAATTGCTTATGTGTAAAATTAATATTTATTTGAACTTACTGTCCGTTTAAACTGCATATGCGTTGGTAATTCTCTATTCAGTGCTAATAGTTTCAAAAACTCTTTCCTCAAAGCTTTGATTTGTTGTCTCTTCCCAGCTTTTATTTCTTCTACTTCTCTCATTAACTTATCATGCTCTCTTTTCCTCCTGGCATTCTCAATACTGAAAATAAATTTAAAAGGACGACAGGAATAAACTTTGAAATTCATTTATAATTGGTCAACTTCTGCTCAACTATTGGTTTGCTTTGCAAAAAACTGTGGTGTAGTTAGTATTTATAAAAAATTCCCATACCTATACTCTTTAGGATCTTCAATATCTTCTGGAATCGGCTCTGATTCAATTCCATACTACAGAAGGTAAAGCAGAAGATAAGCTCTTTAAGAATTGCATAATTTTTCCTTTAAAATATCTAGGAATACCTTGAACTTTTTTTCCCTGCCAATTTCTAAGAACTGTAGATCTGAAAAATAGTTTCATACAAAACAAACTAGAGAAAACTGGAGTTAATTAAACTGTCTCTGCTTCATTTAAAGGAGGAGATAAAAAATTCTAGAAGCATAGTTATGTTTCTAGGATATTGATAACATAATAATGATAAATAATGAGAAATCAACACCTTTAATATGTGATAAAGAAACATTAGGAAATAAAAATATTAATGGAAGATTAGACTAAAAGATGAAAGCACCTAAATAGTTTTTAATTTTTAAAGAACATGAGAAAATTTGACATTACTATTCTAAGATGAAGTTTGCAGTTGTCATTATGGCTGTGAGTTAATTGGTTTGGTTAGTTACTTACATACCCTGGGAGATGGCACTTTGGCTTTGAGGCCTTTTTTAAATTCAAATTCAGAAAAAACATCGAAAACAAAGATATTGCTATCTGTTCCAGCAGTCACCAAGAAACGGTCATCAAAACTGGTAGAAATGCTTGTAATGCATCCGTAATTATTGTCATGCATGTTGAAGTGCCAATAGTCCACCAAACTGGTCAACGAAGTGTCATTTTCACTTAAGACATAAACTCGAATTGCTCCATTTCTCATACCACAAAACATCATAGTTTTGTTAATGCTATGAAACAAAAAGCAAGTAAATTCTTCCCATAAATCTAAAGGTTGTGTTTAATATTCAGTTAACTGGCAAATCGTTAAATCTTTAATAACAAAAATGTTAAGGACTGAGTTGTATACCCAATACTTGTGCTGAAGTCCAAAACCCTAGCACCTAGCATGCAGCATGTCATTCTATTGTGAAATAGGCTCTTTAAAGGAGCCATTAACTTAAAAGGGAACCCTAAGGCACATAATCCACTATGACTGAAATCCTTACAGGAATTGAAGATTAGGACACAGAGGCACCAGGGACACCATGCACATAGGAAATACCAGACAAGGACACCACAAATTACAAGCCAAAGAGAGATCTCAAGAAAAACCAGACTTGCTGACAGTTTGCTATCAGAGCTGTAGTCTCCAGGACTGGAATGTAAATTTCCATGGTGTAAGTCAGCCAGGCCGTGGTATTTTGCACTGGACACCTGAGCAAATTACCACAAAAGGATTGAGGATAACTCAGTTTGAAGTTTCTCCAGAATCACTGTCATCCTAATCCTTCACTACCTGAAAAAATATTTGATGGGATAGATTTAAACATAATTTCAGGATTACTTTTGATTGCATTAATTTATCTGACAGATTTACCTAAATGTTGTTTGCATACACCTTCATCTGGAGGCATCTTTTAAAGATTACAATATCCATGACAGACTAAAATATTAACACTAAAAGCTTTTTGAAATCTTGTTTACCTGAAAGTGATGGTTTGGATGGGGTTATCTTCAGCATCATCAATAAAACGGAAATCAATAGGTTCATCTTTCTGTTCTTCAAAATCACTGTCTTTATCATACGGGGGGAATTGACAGTGATATAGGAAACCAGAGTCATAGCCACCCTGGAAAAATAGGTAAATAACATGGAATGCAATATTTGGATATAACAAATTTGATAATATTTTATTATTCCAAATTGTATAAACATCAAATAGATGCCTTAAAATGTACATTTTATGATTTTAATTTTTGATAGATTTTATTATTTTCAAAAAGTATCCCTACCATCCATTTATATGTAAATATATACATAGATAGATAGTTATTGATATATATATATATATTCATTGGAATTTATTTTTACTTGGAAGTTGCCCTGTCAGGACACACTGGTATAATAGGGTTCCCCCATAGCCCTTATATGCTGATATGTGCCCCAGTTCACTAACAGGCATACTGACCACACCCACTTGGGCCCAGGGTGGTGGTTCCATTCACACACAAATGGGCATATTCTAAATTTCTGCTATATCAGCTACACCTCACCTACATGGGTCTGCCACAGCAATCTTGGCCCACTGTGATCTGTGGGAAGGGACAAGTGCTGAACATCACAGCCACTTACCCCATGTCAGAAAACCTCTTCCACCTAAGAAAAGTGCTCCCCAGCTACTGGTACAGTCCCACAACACTCTGCAGCTTACACCACTTAATACCTGCAGATATTACCATGCTACATGAACACAACCTTCAATTACAAACCTGAAACCAAATGGAACAGCTTATCCAATCAGCACCTAAAGCACATGAGCAGGAGTGAATAACTCCTGTGAATAAATATAACACTATAAAATTGGTAGAGGCAACTCCTCTGTCAGATACACAAATGTCACAGGAAGCATGAAAACACAAGGCAATTTGGTGCCACCAAAGGAACACAATGGTTCTCTTGCAACAGATTCCAAAGACAGGGAACAGACTATCCGACAACAAGATAAAACACTGATTTTAAAGAAAACTTAGATTTATGTGAGAACACAGGCAGTAAATTCAATCAAATTATACAAGAAAATCAGCAGAGACAAACCATTAACTAAGAATCAAAAAGAAATCATGAAGCTAAAGAACTTAATAATTAAAACTAAAAGCTACAACGAGCTCCAAGAGCGGACCAGATCAAGCAGAATTTCTGAGCAATAGTTATTAAACAGTATTTCTCAAACACAAGCAGTATTTCTTAAATATTACTCTTTTGCAAAAAATCAGACAAAAAGTAAAAAAAAAAAAAAATCAAAAGAATGAAGAAAGCCTATAAGAAAGACGTATAGGAAACCAGTAAGTGAACAAACATTCAGATTATGGATGTTCTAGAAGAAGAGAAGGAGTAAGTCACAGAAAGCCTAATTAATGAAATGGTTGCTGAAAATGCTGCAAATAAGGAAAGATGTGAACCTACAGGTTCAGGAAATTCAAAGGATCACTAACAACTAAAAGATTTCTCTCAGCATATAATACACAAACTGCTAAGAGCAAAAGGAGAGATATTTCTAAAAACTTCAAGTGGAAAGTATAACTTCCAATTAACAATGCCCCTCTTAGACTAATAGGAAACTTCACAGAAGAAACCTTGAAAACCAGATAAAAATAATATTTACAAAGACCTGAAAGAAAAAAGCATGCCAGTCAAAACTGTGTTGGGGCCAGTACAGTGGTACAGGTAGTTTAACCTTCTGCCTACAGTGTTGGTAATTCATATAGGTGTATGTCAGTTTCTATAATTCCAATATACCTCCCTGCTTATGGCCTGGGAAAACAGTAAAACATGGCTCAAGTTCCTGGGCCTCTGTATCCATACTGGAGAACTGGAGAAAGCACTTGGCTTCCAGCTTCAGATCACCTCAACCACTAGGGAAGTGAATCAATGGATACAGGACCTCTCTGCCTGTCTTTACTTATTTCTCTGTCAAACCTGCCTTTCAAATTAACATATAAATAAATCTTTTTTTAAAAAAAAACACTGTACCCAGGAGCATATACTGCAGAAAATATATTTAAGAATTTAAGGAGAAATCTATAGAATTAATATGTGTCAACTATATTTAGAGAAGATTTTAACATAGCAGCTGAGAGGCTAAGAAAGGGAATAAAACTATTCAATTCCATGGGTTTTTGGAGAGAGAAAAAAATTCCCAAGTATTTCTGAGGGCAAGGATCCATTGCAAGCACACATTCCACTGGACTTCTATTGCAATCCTAGAGTGTATCACTTATGATATCATTTATGAGTAAACATGCAGTTGAATAACTCTCACAGAAGCAAAGCTTAATTTCAAGTTATTTCAGTCACTAAGATCCCTGGCTGTTTTCCAACAATAAGTCTATGATAGATAATGGCAACCTTCAGAGAGTCACGTAGTTCTATAGTTTTCACTTAAAAGATGTAGGTAGCATTCTGCAAAAATGAAAATAGGCATTCTAGGGCAAAAAGACTGGATTGAAAATCAAAAGAAAAAGCAGCCCAAAGGAGCGTAATTATAAAGGAAGCTTTAAAAACAGACTTCAAATCAGTATGGAGAGTGCTAAGACAACTAAAATCGATCTACCATATGACCTAGCTGTCCCACTCCTGGGAATATACCGAAAGGAAGTAAAATCTGCATATGAGAAAGCAACCTGCAACCCTATATTTATAGCAGCACAATCCGCAATAGTGAAGACATGGAAACAACCCAGATACGCCTTCAAAAGAGGAGTGGATAAAGAAACAGTGGTGCATCTGCTCTATGAAATACTACTCAGCCACTGAAAAGAGTGAAACTCTACCGTTTGCAATAAAATGGTCCCAACTGGAGACCATTATGCTCAGTGAAGTAAGCCAACCCCCAAAAGGACAAATATCATACATTCTATATAAGGTGAAATTCATGCAAAATATAGAACAAATAGATATATAGGTAAACATGTGTGTGTGTGTGTGTGTGTGTGTGTGTATTGTTGAACTGTACAATGGAGACTACCATATTGGAAAGTAAAGATACATTGTAGTATGCAGCTCCACTCCTGAATAAAAGGAGTAATCCCAGTGAAACGGCCAAATATATACCTTGACAATATGATACTAAATTTTCTATCTTTGTATCTACAATGCCATGATGAGTTGAAATAGCAGAATGTTAATCTTGTAACTGTTATTAAAGGACTATATCATTGTGATAATGTGTATGGAAATTGTGAGAGGAGAGCACAGGAAGGGAGAATAGGAAAAAAAAGGGGAAAATTCCTGTACCTACAAAAATGTATCACAGAAAATAGTAAAAATAATTTAAAAAACAGATTTCACAATGTGAAAAAAACATTTCAAATGTTCAGAGGATTTTAAGAAGGATGGACAATTTTTAGAATTTATGTATAAAAAGAAAAGTGGAAATTTTGGAACTGGAAAATGAAATGAAGAAAATTAAAAATTCAATAGAGAAAATTTCAACTCAATTACAGTGAAAAACATTGAGCAAATAATTTAAAAATAGTCAAAATACTTGGATAGGTATTTCTCCAAAGAAATACATAAATGATTAAATAATAACAAAAAAGATATTCAACATCATTAGTCACTGGGGAAATAGAGGTCTAAAGTACAGCAGGATGCCATGTCACACCCTTGACATGACTACAATTAAAACAATGGTAAAAAGTAACAAGTATAGGCGACAATGAGGAGAAATTAGAACTCCTGAACATTTGTTGAGAAGGTAAAACGATATGACTGTCACAGGAAACATTATTGAAATTTCTAAGAAAAAAGCAAAATATGAATAATCACGGAATCTAACAATTCCATATGTGGGTATACACTCAAACAGTGTGAAAGCAGCATCTCAAAGAGATTTTGTAGCTGCCACAGTCCTAGCAGCACTGCTGGCAACAGTATGATTGATCTGAACACCCAGTAATGGATGTGCAAATAAGCAAAATGTGGTAGACACTTGACACAGAGGATTGGTCAATCTTAAATGTAAAGATATCCTGATATCCACTGAAGCATGGATGAGACCTAAGGACATTCTACTAAGTAAAACAAACACCTACAAGGAGACAAATATGTTTTCACATCCACAGGAAAGTAGGCAAAAATCAGAGATAGAAGCAAATTGGTGGATGTTAGAGGCGAGAGAAGAGAGAATATAGAATTATTGTAGAAAGGCTAGAGCGTTTCAGTGTCATCAGATTAGGGGTGTTACAGAGAGCAATTGTGGTAATAGCTGTACAACACAGTGAATGTGTTTATTACCACTAAACTGTACACTTAAAAATAGTTAGGGTAAATTTTGTAAGCTTTTATTACAAAAAAAAAAAAAAAGCTTGAAAAGCAAACATTTACAACACAGAGTTAAGACAGTGCAATCCAATCAGAAAAAAATAGGTGAAAAGTGTGAAGAGGAGAAAAAACTTGTGGAAATACATATGGGATAAAGTGAGAAGGTGTTAATAGGCATAAAACTGGAATTCCAGAAGAAGAGAGTGGAAAGATAAATCAGAGATACCTGTGGGACAAAACGGTGGGAAATTTTAAAAAACTGAATAATGACATATTGAAAGTCAAAAATTGCGGTGAACCAAAGATAACTATGAAGAAAATACAACCTACAAGATAAAATCTGAAAATTAATCAAGAAAAGAGGTATATTAGTTTTCACAAACAAAGCAAAACTAAAAACAAGAATACTATACAACAGGCTGAACTGAAGGCACAGACTTGTTTGACAAGGTATCAACCAAGTTGGTGGGGCAGGAAACTCCAGCATAAAGGCAAAATAAAGCCCCTTTAAGACAAACACTTTCCAACACCAAAAAATAAAAAAGCAAAACACTGAGTTTGTCATTAGCAAATCTACACTAAAAAAAAATAGCAAAGAATAATTTTCAGTCAAAAGTGCAATTCCTAAGATACAGAAAAGAATCCATAACAAGGACCCGGCGCTGTGGCCTAGCAGCTGAAGTCCTTGCCTTGAACGCGCCAGGATCCCATATGGACACCGGTTCTAATCCCGGCAGCCCCACTTCCCATCCAGCTCCCTGCCTGTGGCCTGGGAAAGCAGTCAAAGACAGCCCAAAGACTTGAGACCATGCACCCGAGTGGGAGACCTGGAGGAGGCTCCTGGCTCCAGATCGGCGTAGCACCAGCCGTTGCAGTCACCTGGGGAATGAATCATCGGATGGAAGTTCTTCCTCTCTGTCTCTGCTCCTTTCTGTAATCTGACTTTGTAATGAAAACAAAATAAATCTTTTTTTAAAAAAAGAATAACAAGAGAGATAAAAAAAAAATACATTGACAACGAAATAGTAAATTATTTTCTGGAATAAAAATGAATGCATGAATAAAATAAGAGTGGGGCTGGGAAGGATATACACATTATTCTAAAATTTCCTTTCCTTTTACTTTGATCAATTCAAATGAATATATGATCTTTCGAACCACCTGTGGAAGAAAACTAACACCCTATCAAGGTAAGAAAATTGGAGTGAAAGCTTCCTAACCACCCAAAAGAAGATATAAAAGGAAAAAAAGAACAGAGATTCAATGTAACAATTAGAAATGCTTAGTGAGACGGTAGACTTAAACAAAAATTTTCAGGAATTATACTCAATGATAATAAATAAAACCTATTTTAAAAGACAAACACCCTATAGGATTTTTTTAAGATGCTTATGTTTTTTGTTACATACCGTTAAAAGAAAGGTGTCAAAAGGGAATGGAAATAATTGTTATAACTATTAGAATTTTGGACAACTAAGTTATGTTTTTGGACATACTTTGAGGTGCCAAGAACAGTTGTCACATTAGGAATTCAAGTCTGGAATATGAGGTGAGAGGTCCGTACTGCAGATAAATACTTGAAGTGCATGCAGATAAGTCATATTTAGATTTGTGGGACTGAATTGAATCACATTCACATGAAAGAGTAGCTTTCAACATTAAAGCCTGTTCCATAAACGACAAGTCAGGAGGAGTGTCTGTGTGAGTATTAACATTTTAGAAGCCAAGAAAATAACTTATTTTAAGATGAATGGAAAGTCAGCTCTAGCAAGTACTTCTGAAAGGCCAAATGGACAGAAAGTGAGCACTGGGCTTGGCGATACAGACAGTCACAGGGAGGCAGTGCGGATTAAAGCCTCACTGGAGTGGGCACATCAAATGGGAGGAGAAGCGAAGCTGGTGACCACAGATAACTCCTTCCAGGAGCTTCGAGAACTACGGTCATGGCTTCATGAAAAACTGGTTTTCTGCAGCACCTACTTGGCTGAAGGCACAACAGTCAGCAAATTACTACTATTTCTGTGAACTGGGCTATGACCTTGTTTGTTATTTACAACTTAGTGGTTAAGAGCATGGACCAGACTCTGGATCCAGAACGACATGGGTTCATATCTCAGTCTATTCCTTATTAATTATATGATCTTGAGTAAGCTACTTATCACTTCATGCCTTGGTTTCTGCACATATGAAATGTAAATGACAACAGTACTTATTTAACAGGTAGGTTAGATAATTAATAGGTGAAATGGGGTCTGATGCAGATCAAGTATGTTACCATATTATTAAACAAGAATACAGGTTGCCCAGTTGAAATTTCAGATAAACAAAACAAAAAAAGGTTTTAGTATATATTCCATGCTACATTAATTTGACAATCCTTTATAAAAATAGATATTAAATACATTTATTTAATAATATTTTTGTATATATGTCTCCAAGACATTGGAAATCTATCACTTTGCATTACAGTTAATTCTGTTTATCTTTCACTCATGTGAGTTTCCCAAAGGCAAAAACCATGCCTTATTTATCCCTTTATCCCTGAACTTCACATGGGTAACAGAAGAATTGTTTCATACAAGCGGAGCAGCTGGGACTTGAATCAGCACACAGAAAGGATGCTGGTGCCATAGGCAGAGGCTTAGCCCACTACACTATGGGTGCCACCTCCCCAATGAAGAGATTATTTTTCTAGTTTTTAGCGTAGTATAATATATCAAACTCCCTCTGAGTTTCTGTGTGATAATATTTAAAAACAAATGTGTCAAAAACCAATTTAGAATTATGTACAATCCTTCAAATGGCTAGTCATACAAATCGCATTAAATTTCAAAGATATTCTTTCTATAGTACTTCTAAGACTACCATATACTGTAAGAATCTTAAAAATGTGTACTTTAAACTTTATTCAGCATTCAGTGGTATTTAAATTAAGGATTTTATCTGACTATTGTCAAAGACTGTTTTTACCACTTTCTTTTTAGAGTAGTATAATAATGATGTAATTTACTATTTCACACAAAAATTACTTAAGTTCATAACAAAACTTAAGTATATAAAATATCACAACATATGCACTAAGCCAGGTGTTTGCAACATGTAATAGATATTTTGATTTAAATCTGGAAATATGTGTTAGTGAAAAAAATATCAGTTTATTGTTAATTCAATAGGTACTCATGGAATGCCTATTATATGCCATTATAACATTTCTTTAATAGAAAGAATAATCTACAATTATGCTGAAAGCTAAACATTAGCATTATACTCTCCCCAGTTTGATACAATTTCAGTGATAATAACCTATCAGTGATTAAATTATCTCATTGAAGCATGCACACGTGCATGCATGGGTACAAATCTATGCATTCTGAAGTGAAAAAATTCCAAAATAAATCCCCCCCACACACAAAGAATTGCTTCATACAACACAGAAGGAATTAAAGGTTTGGGCACTAAAATGGAGTCCTACAGTGTCACCAAAACTACTTTCCATCCTTCTTGCTGCTGCATTTCTTTGAAGTGACTACAACAATATGTATTTCTAGGCACAGTCGAAGAAGCAAAGATTCAACTCCCATCACTCCTTGCTTAGTCTTGCCAAAGATCTTGCAACCAGTTATGGGTTAATAATGATATTTCACATACGCTTTTGCCATCCTTAGTAGATGGAGTCAGAAACTGCCATACCTTTAGTGAAGGAAATACTGCTCGATAAAATGTTTTATGATGAGAGTAGGAAAATTATAATAAGAGAGTTTATTCCCATAACATGGTAACTCTCCCTGGTATAGGTCTTCCTAATATCCATCTTTCCCTTCTTCCTTCCTTAGCTGACATCACCTAAAGGACTCATCTTCTTACACTTCCATATGACCACACATCTGTAGACATGAGATGTAAGCAGAGTCGACTGGATGGTGCTACCAGGAGAGTTACTACTTCACGGGTGAAAAACAAGACTTCACCGGAAAACCCCAAAGCCTCTTACCCTTCCACTTTTGGTCCTTCTCTTCCTTGACCTTCTTGGAGAATATGTACTACTGTCATAGATGATAACAGATACAACAGATTATACATGCTATGACGATTTTTTACAAAGCTGAAACATATTCATTCCTCAAATTCTCAACTTCGATTGAAGTCAATAAGTGAAGCCTGAATATTATGAATGTAAGCATGATGATCAATAATGACTATAAAGTATGCTGAAATAGGTCAGAGGTAAGAATAATTACAGTATTACTTACCAAAGAAATCCAGAATTTCTCTGGCCCAGAGTAAAATCCACACAGGATGGGAGAAGGGGTTGGTGGCATAAAGATTTCAGGTAATGGTTCCTCTTCCTCTTCCTCCTCTAGCTCCTCTACTTCTTTCCCTCCATTTTCTCCCATTTCTTCTCTTAGCTTCCTCCTTTCTTCCCTTTCTTGTTCCTTCAATTCCTTTTTCTTCTTTCTTTTTTCTATTTCTATTAGTCTCTTTTAAAAGATACATTAAATAGAAAAATAACTGAAAACCACATAGACTACGGAGGAAGACAAAGAAGTAGAAGGAAGATAGAATTCTAGAAAACTCACAGTTCTGATACAATAAATGACATTTAAAATAACTATCAGTTTGTATGTATGTCTGTAACATTGAAACTTTCAAATCACTGGGATGTGTCACTTCTATTTTATCCCCCACAAACCCTGGCTTTGTAAAATTATTTAGTCATCCTTTTCTGAAGAGGGACACTAAAGACAGTTTCTCCTGCAGCCTGTCACTGTCAACCCATAAACTAGGTAGACAGAAATGGTCTACAAGGAGAGGTGCTTCCAGCTTTAGGAATGCTGAGTTAGGGCCTATTCATCTATCAACTGAACATCAGAAAACGGACCTTGGCTTCCCATCTCTTCTCTTCATTCTCTTTATCCCTCTGAATGACCTTCATAATTTACATGATCTCAACCCAGCAATCCCCTCCCTCCTCAAAAGCTCAATATGGATCCCAGTGGTCTCAACTGAAGTGACGTGGCTGGCTTTAAGGAGCTCTATGCTCCACTACATAGACTGCTGTCACATCCCTCCCCAAATCAGACTCTTCCATTCCACCACTAATTATTTCCAGAAAACACCAAACTCCACTCTGTCTTCCCTTGGACATTCTCCCAATGTTTGTTATCATTCTCCCCATTTAGTCTTCTCAAAAATTTTCCCTTTGCTTAATTACTAAATGCCATTTCCAAGTTGTTACCATTGACATCCTCCCACCTCTCCATTAGAATCATTTATTCTTTCCTATCTAAACCCCCAACATTGCTTTTTTTTTGTACTTTTATTATCTATTACTACATTTTAATCCACTTATCTTTTTATTAGGTTATAAACTCCTTAGGGTTGGGGTCAACACCTCATTCTTTGTACTCCCCTAGCACTTATAAAGAATATTCTGAAGAAAGAAAAAAACAGGAAAGAAGAATGAAGAATATTCCATACCAGAATCTTAGATTTGACACTTGAGTAATGGAAACACTTTAGGTGCATGTCTTTGATTTCATAGGAAGCTAGATCATGATCATCCTCTTCTTCCTTTAGGATTGGACACGGAGCTTCAAGGACATAGCCATTCTGACAGATTATGAGTAAAGTGTTTTCAGGCTAAAAAAATTCAACATGTAATTTACATTTATACACATTTTAGAAGCATAGTACTAGAAGATTATACACCAGGAAAAGCATAATTGCTGCTTATATTAACCCCTTTTAAAATATAACTAATTCCTCCTTGTAGTTTTTGGTAATAAGTCAAGCTTGCTATTAATTACTACAAAATGATTAGTACCAAGTATTATCAATTAATTATAAGTAACAAATTAATTGCTGAAATTAGATTCTAATTTGGTTTCTTTGTAGATACTATAACATATTTCTGAGCCAAACATGTGGTTGTGAAATCTCTTAGCCCAAAGGGAGGATTAATAGAATTGGAGTTTCTACAGAAAATCTGTAGCGTGTGGACAGTACATTCAAGTTCAACTTTCTTCAGCTCATTCCCTAACTCCTGAGTTCACTTTAGAAAGACGTTCCCAAAGTTGTTGTCCTCTTTTTTCTTTTATCCCATAAGTATACCCAGGGAAATCTTACAGCTTTCATTACCACTCACATGCAATTAGATTCAAAAGTAACATCTCTGGTCCAGATTGCTGTTTGGGGGCCAAAACCACATGTGGGAAATCCCCACCTTGATATTTCACAGATATTTTATTTGAAATGTTTATTCAAATATTTTATTCTTTGATTACCTATTGTGTATCTACTATGAACTCAGCATTTTGTTAAATGTGAGAAATAAAATTATAGTAAGGATATCAAGCATTGTCTCTGCCATTATGAACCTTGTCTCTAACAGGAAAGCCGTTCTTTTAGCAAACCATACAAATAAACATAAATTACAACTGCAAATGTACTGCAGGATGGCCATGGCAAAAAGTAGAGTGTACAAGACTTCCTGAAGAGGAGGTATCAAGCTTCGAGGTGAAGGATAAGATAGTATTACATCACAGGAATGGGGAAGGGTTTGAGAGAGAACACTATTTAAAGTAACCAAAAGAATATAACAGAAAGGAGAAAGGTTGAAATCAGAAAATGGTGATGCTTAACTTGAGTTCATACTAACTGGTATGGGTGAAGCTGTGCTTTCTCCTAAGCTCCACAGTTTAAAGTCCTTACCCCTAGAACATCAAAACATAACTGCAATTGGAAGCAGAGCCCATAGAGAGCTGGTTAAATTAATACAGGGTGGTAAACGTGGGCCCTTAACCCAGTGATCACTGTCCTTATTGAAACAGAAGAACAGAGACATAAAGAAAACACTGAAAGGCCCTGGTGCAATGGCTCAATTATTAATCCTTCCTGTGCAATGACCAGAATCTCATACAAATGCTGGCTCAACCCTGACTGCTCCACTTCCTATCCAGTTCCAATTATGGCCTGGAAAAGCAGCAGAGGAGGGTCCAAAGCTTTGGGACCTTGCACACATATCAGAGATATAGAAGAAGCTCTTGACTCCTGCTTTGGATAAGCTCAACTCCAGCAACTGCAGCCATTTGGGAAGTGAACCAGCAAATGGAAGATCTTTCTTTTTCCTTCTCTCTGTAAATTTGCCTTTCCAACATAAATAAATAAATCTTTAAAGAAGAAAAAGAAGCAGCAGCAGCAACTGCTAATTTGTAAAAGCATTTTTCTATATAGTAGTAACTAATTTCTACTGTTTTTTCTTCTTTAAAAGATCTTCAAATAGAGTAGAAATATTAGCTCAAAACTCCTGACAGCACTTCTTTGTAGTTCATCAGTATTATCATCCTGGAGCGTGGTTAGTACAATACTGCTTAGACATGCAATCAATACTTCATTGTCCTAATTATATTACATCAAACTTTGCCAAAATAGGGACACTGAATAAAACCCATAATCAACTCTGACTTGCTAATTATTACAAAAGCAGCAATAGAAATTTAAAAAATAGAGGTGGATTGAGGGTGAGGGGTGAAATAGAGAGATAAATAAAAGGTACACTCAGATCTTAAAATTGAGCTTCTGACCGTCAGAAAGACTGACCAATCCATCCCATGTTGTACATGTGGTCAACAGTCATCATTGTTGAAGCAGAGCCTGACTTAACCTTGTGTTTCGTGAGGAAATCAAGAGTAACTAATTAGAGTATGAAAGAGAAACGAGGATGTGAGGGAAAGGCAGAGCTCCTGGGTGATGCTCCCATGATTAGAGAAGCAATAGGTTTCTCTAGTAGAGAAGCAGTTGTCACGTTCCTTTTTCCCTATTGGAGAACTTAAGAGTAGGGTTAATGTGACCTGGTATTCCCTATGTACACAGATCACTCTATTTTATTAAACCTGCAAAACAAACAATGACTTACATGAGAGATTGTAGACCATATTAATTGGATAACAGGTCCAGGAGTGTTAATATAACCAATTGGCTTATAATCCTTTTCCACATCAAAGAAAAAAACAGTATGATCTTTACTCTAAGAAAGAAGAGATATACCCTTCAAATGCATATTATGAAACCAAACACACAGAGCACAAAAAAAAATCATTTAATATTTACAATGCTTTAAAATGGAAGTATACCTACATACAATGGTCACATAACACAGATTATTTTCAGAGAATTCATGTTCATTTTCCCCATATGCTCCAGTATGTGGCTAGAAAATGTGATCACTGTACTTACACATAAAACTAATTTACAAACAATTCCAAATGCATATGTTCACGTACTAATGCATAAGGAATTTATATGGTCACTCTTCATTTGACAATATTGATAATAACCAAAACATCCAGTGTGACTTCCAGATGAAACTTTCTATTAATTTAAAATATGCATTAGAACTGAATTTGTAAGAACAATTTAAAATGCTATGCGCAGAACACATTGAAAGAATATGAACACAAAGAAAGTACTTCATTTTTAGAAATTGAATTTCACTAAATAAATCATGATCAAATAGGCAACAAAAAGGGCAAATTTAACCATGAAATTCCAATGAGAAACAAAAGGAAATCTACTGCTTACCCCTGTAGCTAGGATTTCCCCATCACGTTCATAAGCTAAAGCAGTGACACAATCAGTATGTGGTTTAAAAACCTGTCTCAAGTGAATATCTGCATCCAAAACTTTCTTCCGTCCTGCAAAAATTGTGAGACCTTTTGGATCATAAAGTTCAAGGATTCGAACAACTCCATCTTCAAATCCTACAATAATTTGTGCTCCACTGTAGCTTACCTTGGGAAAAAAAAGTAAATATAAGAGACCTGAAATTAACGGATTTAGAAAGTTATGCCATGTAACTGATAACTCTGTATTTTATCTAAATTTGGGCAATTTAGTAGAGGCTGTCTGGCCAGTTCTACATACTCCCATACTTCGTTCAACTCCAACTGAATGTTCATTCCAAAAAAAGTTTAACAAGTGTCTAAATGTACCAATAACTTCAGACTCAGTGGAGATACCAAGAAGATTAAGATGGTTGTCAGTACAAACAGCTTAGGGGGAAATACAAATAATGTAATATTTTCAATCTGCTGAGGTAAGTGTTATAAGACACACAACCACAGCCCTCGGGGTTCAGGGGAATAATCACCTCGGAGGGAGGACCTAACTTCCCTTGAAGGTGTGTTCACAGGCAGCCATGAAGAAAGGATGATACGCACCTTGATCTGAGTCATGAGGTGACGACTTCCAGGAAGAGGAAGAGGGAAGCAAGAAAAAGGGGTCTTTAAATACTAGCCTAATATCCATGTGATCATTATTTGGATATAAAGCTGAAAATAAGTTATTCTTAGAACATCACACATTCATGCAAATAAACGACTCTGTCCATGGGTGGCGCTTAAGCACTTCAGACAGTGTGCAAACAGATTAGGGAACTGAGTGAGCTAGATCTGCCATTCCAAGTGCTCTGTCCGCTCCACTTATTCTAGAGTCTTCATTGTGCTGGCTGTGTTCCCTGATTTGTTTTCCTTCTGCTCTTTCCCCAGCCACCATGTGCACGTGGTGAGCTGTCCACAGGCCTGCCTGGGCTCTGGGGGCTGCTGCCTTCGTTGAGTACACCAAGGGGGGCAGTCTCCATGACTGGGCAGGTCTGGGGCCCACCCGCTGCCCTCACTGGGTGGTGAATGGGATTAGGGAGGGGCACGACCTTGGGCCTGGGAGTTTAAACTTCCAGCAGCCTCCTGGCTGCTGGTGGGTCTCAGGACCGGGCGTCTCATGCCTGGATCCCAGAAGACAGCCACCATGTACATGTGGTGAGCTGTCCCTGGGTGGCCAGTGCGCCATTTGGTGCCAGACTCTGCCTGCTGGCTGCCTGGCCAGGGAACTGTGGGGTTTTGGTTCTTTGAATCACTGCTTTGGTAGTTCCAGGTTGAACCCACTGTGTTTCTAGGACGTGAAGCAATTGTAAAGATTCCCAATGACAGTAACTCTTCCTTTGAAAAATTTATAATCACTGAACAATGCTGACCACCAAATACCAGTCCACACAAAAGCTATGGCTCGGAGCTTGTCCAGCAGAATCATACCCTGTTACCTGACATGATGATGGATCAGAAGAAGGGTCACGTTAAGCAGGGCCGTTACATTAACTAGCACTAGAACCATGACCGGGGGCAGATTCTGTGAGGAATGTGTGGGCCAAACCCTACGGAAATTCTAACCCCATTGGTTAGCTCAAGAGTTGGGGTGGTGATGGACTAAGCTTGGTGTGACCAAAGAGCCTGCCATCAATCACAGGTAAAGGAACCCCCAATAGTCTGGACTGGTCAGCGCAGCAGCACCCAAATGTGCATCCTGAATAGGGTGTGGGGTGGGCCAGGCTGCAACATTCACCAGCTCATACAAGGCCAAATGGAAGGCCAGACTTCACCAGAACCTGGCCTAATCCCAATGACATGTATGAGAACTGGGTCAGGGAGTGGATTAAGTGGAGGAACTTGGGAAACTTTCTTGGCAAGTCATAGCTCCCGATGGTGAACATGTGGTCCAGACCTGGGAGTCGGACAAGCTGGGCAAAGTAGCTCCAACAGCTGGCAAATGTGTCAATTGGTAATGGAACAGGGTGGACTGGACAGGACTGAGCAATCCTTAACCCACAAGTGAAACCAGGAGACCAGGACGGTGCACAGGTCATGCCGAGCTAGGCTCTTGTACCTAGTGGTCTGCATGAGCCAGGGACACTAAGCCACAGTGTCTAAGACAGAGGTCGGGACAGGTGAGGGGCTGAGCCAAGCTGAGTCAGAGCAACCACTGGCATGTGCGTGATCTATGGCTGGGAACAGGCCCAGTTGGGGAGCTAAGGGGACAACCCTAGCTGGGTTGAGGTTCCCACACAGGGGCGCGTGGGCTAGAATGGGGGCTGTGTTTTGAGTGGGAAACGGTTGTAGTCTCCCTTGGCACAAGTGTGGACTGGGATTGGATGCACCGAGCCGGGCCAGACTCCAACACCCTTTGGTGTCCTGGAGGACCAGGGTAGATGTGGGATGGACTAGGCAAGGTCTCAACCCCTACTGAGCCATGTGTGAGCCATATGTGGGTATGGACAAGCCATGGCTGGGCTGAAACATCCAACAGCAAGAACCAGTTTGGGTTGAAGGCCAGACAGGAAAAGCCACATTTCTGCTAGGACAGGAGCTGAGCTGAGTAGGACTGCCTCATGGACCCACTGGTATGCACGAAATCTGGCATTGGGAGAGGTTCTGATGGAGGAGCCTGGGCAACTCCTCTGGCAGGACACAGACCCGGCAAGTAAGTGCAAGAAACATGCTAGGAAACAGCCCAGAACAGGCCATGGAAAGTTACCCACTGTCATGCAATTGGCAGGGGTTGGGGGAAGACCAGGCTGAATCTGTTCACATCACCCACTGGCAAATCCAAGCACCAGAACAGGATGGGTCGAGCCAGATTCGGTCACAACAAAAACTAGTGCACAATACGAATGCCAAGGTGAGGTTGCCTGTACTGGACGGACGTGACTGCAGCACCCAACCAGCACACATGAGAACCAGGAAGGGAGGGGGCGAAGCCGGCAGGGGAATAAGGGGTGGTTCCTTTGCTGGACAGTTACTCCCACTGGGGAGCGTGAGCTGGGATGGGGCAGACCAGACTAAGCAGGCAACACCTGTACAACACTTGTACGCCTCATGTGGACTAGATCAGGGAAAAGCCAGGCTGGGCAGATTACTCCTACTGGTGCAAACAAAATTAGAGTGGGTAAGGGTTGTTTGGGTTTAGCCATAGCATCAGCTGGCAAAACTGGCACTGGGAGCTAGTTCTGTCAAGTCAAACCACAGAACTACCTGGAGAGTGCACACTCCAGGCCTGGGAGAGGCCTGGGAAGGAAATAGTGGGCTTGGGTTACCACTTCCACAGAAGGGCACGAAAACAAGGACAGGGGCTGGGATAGAATGGGGTATGGGACAGACTGGACTACTGCTTCACATACTGGCAAACCAGGGTAGAGGGCGGGCCTGGTGGGGGTTAGTGTGGGTTGCTCCAACTAGGCTGCAGCTCCCACTGATTTATGCAAGGGCCGAGTATGTGCTGGGCAGAACCAGGCTGGACTGCAACACCCATTGGTTCCAGTGGAAGTCGGGAGTGAAAACAGAACCAACCCAGCGATCACAACCACCAGCTGATTGGGGCCATGGACTGTGCTGGGTCCTGTACTTGCTAGTACATACAAGAATCTGGTCTGAGAACACCTCAGACAAAGTTTCTTTGGAGATCTTCCCAATCGAAAAGACAGACTCAGAACCCTAACCAAGAAAAGAGAGAAGCCAGAACAGGTCAATCAACCATCTCAGCTATATGTTGGCAGCAAAATATGGGGCAAACGGAGACTCTATGATGGACTATGTCAATCAGTGGAGTCTTCAAAGACCTCATAGTGCTTGGAGTGGCCAGATTGGCAGTGATTCATGAATGGTGAACTATCGAAACCACTTGAACAAGAACCTCGGAGCATACCCTACTTCTGGGACCTGGGGAGGGTGGGAAATTGGGTGGGCCTTCTCCCTTAATATCCGCCCTTTTAAACATGAAAGAAACAATATGGAAATAATAGTCTTACCCACTTTCCTATAGCTCTTGAACCTTTTTACCCTAATTAACCACGCAAAGATTGTCAAAAATATAATTAAAAAAAGGAAAGAAATTTCCCTCCATTCTAGTCATACCTATTTTGGCCTGAAACTTTTTTTTTTTTATTGTTGCTTACATTGTATTATGTAGTACAGTTTTATAGGCACTGGGGATTCCCCCCACCCCTCCCATACCCCTCCCCCCATGGTGGATTCCTCCACCTTGTTGCATAACCATAGTTCAAGTTCAGTTGAGATTCATTGCTTGCAAACACTTGCCTAGCATAAAGTTCAGCGTCTTATTGTCCAGATAAGTTCAGTGGCCTCTTGGGGAGACCTTCTATGGTCTGAAGATAGGTCTAACAGAGTAAAGATCTGGTCAGTTAAAAGCCCCAACAAGGCCTCAGTATCAATATACAACATTATGGAATTAATTGACATAGTATTGGGTAAACAATATGTTAAAAATAATGCAAGTTCCCTTCTTCGAAACATCTGGGTTGAGACAGTATCAATGACAGGTTCAAAAAATAACAAACAACCAAACAAAAAATTACAGGTTAAATCAAGGCAAACATGTGGTATCTAATCTTTTGGGATTCGCTCATTTCCCTTAGCATTATAGTTTCCAGTTGTGCCCATTTAGCCACAAAGAACTGCATTTTGTTTTTTTTTAATAGCTGAGTAGTACTCCATGGAGTAGATGAACCAAAGCTTTCTTATCCAATCTTCTGCTGATGGGCATTTCGGTTGCTTCCATGTTTTTGCAATTACTGACTGTGCTGCAATGAACATAGGGATGCATGTTGGTTTGTCGTAAAACAGGTGTTTTGGATATATTCCTAGGAGTGCTATTGCTGGGTCATATGGTATGCAGATTTTGAGTTGTTTGAGTGTTCTCCAGACTGATTTCCATAAAGGCTGTACCAATTTGCAGCTCCACCAGCAGTGGAGTAGGGTTTTTTTTGTATTTCAACTCACTTGATCTTAGCCAAAAGGCCGAGAAGTGATTTTGTATTTCAATTCAAAAAAGTATTAAACATTCCACAAAACACTTCCATTGCATTTTGAAAACATGGTTGCACATTCTCTGAAATACTCTCTGTGCCCAAAGAGATAAAGTCCTTTTCTGTTGAATCTGGCTGGGGCTGGTGAATGTGTGCCTGTTTAGCCTAATGGAGTAAGAAATGGTCATTTAACTTCATAGACTGGGTCATAGAAGGCCATAAGTCAATCCCAAAAAAGTTAAATACCATATGTTTTCTATAATATAAGGAAACCATCATGCAAACTGGAATGTATACTGATGGAGCAATAAAGACTACCATACCCAGATGTGAAGGCACGATGCAACATGCATCTCTACTTCCAAATAAAAGATAGACTCCCAATGAAAGCGTTGGACATATCCAGACAATGGGATAATGGGCAGTCTGACATTGTCTGTACCAATAATGTTGGGGCACACTTAAATAGCAGACTGATGGAATTGTAACTCCTTATGAAGGAAAGCACTGACAATATGGGGAAAAATCAGTCAGGGGGTGGGAACTTGGGGGAGGGGAATCCCAGACTATACAGAATTGTACCACAAAGTTCAAAATTTAAAATAAAAATAATAAAATTAAACTTAAAGATAAAAATTAAAAGGCCACTGGCTTCTGCCTTATTTGTTAGAATACTAGTCCTTGGCACCCTGAGCCATTGGGTAAGAAGTGTGGGCCCTTGGTGGGTATTATGGCACAGTGGGTTAAACTGCACTAGGAATGCCTGCATTTCATATCAGAATGTTTGCGTCAAGTCCCATTTCTGCTTCCAATCCAGCTTCCTGCTGAAGTGCTATGTAGGGGGCAGATGATGGTCCAAGTACTTGGGACATGGCCACTGATGGCAGGTGTGGATGGAGCTGCTTGTTCCTGGCTTCAGCATGGTGCAGACCCAGATGCTATAGGTCTTTAGGGATTGAACCAGTGGACACAAAAGCTGTTTCTCTCCCTCTTTCTTGCTGTGTCTCTTCCTCCTCTCTCTGTATCTCTGCCTTTCAATAAGAGAGGCAGAGAAGTGTGTGAGTATCCTGATGCTGTCATGCTATGACAAAGCCCACGTCCCATGCAGAAGTTATAAGGGAAACACACCTGCCAACAGTAAAACCTCCAAGCTATCCGACCTGGGTGTAGCCTTATCATTATAAGGTTTTTGGATGATTCTGCTCTAATACTTCAAGTTTTTATAGCAGAAGCCTAGACACTCTGAAGCAGAGAGAATCTCTGCTGTCACCTGTATGAGATCCCTGTTCAAAGACCCTGTGAGAAAAACCAAATGATTGCTGCTCTCTGCTACGGCATGCTGGAATAGTTTTTTAATGTAACAATATATCATTGGCTTAACTCTCCATTCCCCACTAAATATTTAAAAAGATTTATTTGAAAGGTCAAATGAGAGAAAGAGATATTATTCATTACTGGTTTACTTCCCAAACAGCTCCATTCAGGTCTTCCATGCAGTCATCCACTGCATTTCCTGGTGTATTAGAAGCAGCTGAATCAGAAATGGAGTAGTCAGGATTCAAGCCAGCATTGCAAGGAACAGATGAGCTCACTGCTCCACAATAAGGGCTTCCCTACATTTTTCGGTATGGCTCATCATTATCTATCCCAACACATTTTATTCTATATTTTGTCTATAATCTGTCTCTGCCTCAATCCTACTATAGGTCTGTAAAGTCAAATTTGGTTTTTTTGTTTTTGCTCACTGCTATTTCCCAGAAACTAGAACATAGCCCTCAACAATGTAGGTATTTTAGAAATATTAATAAAAATGAAATCAGAGGTAAATGGATACAGCCTAGATACACAAAGATGTATTCCACAGTTACTTTGTAACTCAGGACTATTATTCATCTGTAGGTGGAATAAAAACAGAATGTTCATTAAAAACAGAATCTAAACCAAGATCATGATATGATTCATATCACATTGTGAATGAAAGAAACTAACCAAAATTTTTTATTATTCTCTAGAATCCAAAATTAGAAAAACACATATATTTCTAAGATGTAACACTGATACAAGATATTAACCAATAGTTTCTTGTATAAATTCATTATAATGACAAACTTACCATTTGGGGTACCCAAGCAATGGTCGTACCTCCTTGCTTGAATTTCATTTGAATCAAAGGAGTTTTGCTAGCAAAGTCATAGATTCGAACAGAGCCTACAGAAATACAGTTTCAAAGGAAACAAATTATTTATACTTAGTATCTTTTAAAATCATCTTGGCTTACTTTCCACATGTTGAGTGTTATAACAAAAATTTTATAAATAACTAAGTGATAATCCAATAGCCTTTCTTTGGTCAAAATATTCCATACAAATACTCTTAAGCAGCTAGTTCATAAATGTACATAATGTCACTCTGTACAGTGTACACAGATTTACTATAAGGAGGAAGAAAAGAAATCAAAAGAATAGAAAACATATTGATTTGATTACTATTAAAAGAAACGACATTTCCATGAATAAACAGCTCTTGTATTCTGAGCTATATCCACTTTGCTGCCATATACCTCACTCACACTCAGGACACTTCCTTTTTCTGAAAACTTCTCAGCTGTTTTTACTGAAACTCAACTCAAACTTGTATTCAAAGCAAAAGAAGACAGGGCCATATACTTTCCTTAAGAGTGTCTACTTACAGTCCAAGGCGGTCGTGGCCATGAGATAAGTGACAGGAGACATGGCCAAGGCTTCAACGGCTCCAGAGTGGAAGGAAAAAAGACATTCTGGATCCTGAGTCTACAGACAGATAGGTATAACTCACTAAATCTCAGAGAAAAATACAAACAGAACCTGATACCTCCTGATGGACCTTACAAATTTTATTGGAATGGAATGGCTTAGAAAGAGCACCGGACTTTGGATTTAGGAGGAACATGGGATCCTGGGTTTACACTTCATGGCTGTATGATTATCACAAAATGCTAGTTTCCATTTCTTCCCTGTCATATAGGAGGGTGACAGCTCACTACTCTAAGGGTGGGCGTGAGAATCAGGAGATAATATAAATGAATCAGGAGATAATACAAATGAAACTGACACACATTTATGAAAAGTGCAAAGACTGCAAAACATGAGGCATTACTATTGCTACTTTTCCGGTAAACTCTGCTCATTTTTTTTTTTTTACTTAAATAAAATCATGACGTGAGATAAGTGGAGAGAATTCCCAAGAATAGAGAATGTTGAACAAGGTTTTTTCCAATTTTTATTTATTTATTTATTTATTTATTTGCAAAGCAGAGTAAGGATGCATGTGTGTGCATGTGTGTAAGGGAAAGAGGGAAGGAGAAAGGGTAGGAGGAAGGGAGGGAGAGAGGGAGAGAGAGAGATGTTAGCTCACCCCTTGCAAATGGCAGCTCTGGTTGAGGCTAGGCCAGACTGGTCAGGAGCCCAGAACTCCCTCCAGGTAGCCCAATTTGGGTAACAAGCACCAAAATACTTGGACCATTATCTGCTGCTTCCCCAGGCACATTAGCAGGGAGATGGAATGGATGAAGCAGAGTATCCAGGGCTGAAATCAGCACCCCAATATGGGATGCCACCAATACAAGAAGTGGCTTAACTTAAGGTGCCACATTGCCAGCCTCTTGAACAACTTTTTGATGGGAACAATGGTCTAGCTTGGAGAAAGATAAAGTCCCCTTTAAAGAATAACAAATGTGTTTACTATGAAAGCTAGGGAACGTTAAGAAAAAGGGACAACTTACGATATTTGAAAAACTAAGGTCAAGCTTCCATATGGCTCCATTGGCATCCTACAAAATTAAATAGTCTTATAATTTTGAATTTGCATCAAATTGGAAACAATTTTCTTCCCATGACTAAAAGGACTACTACATAAAGTTCATAATACATATGAACTTCACATAAAGTTATAAAAGTTCACATAAAGTGTGAGAAATGTAATAAAAGTAATTACATATATATGTGTGTGTATATATATACATATATATATTAGAACACAGCCACAGAACAAGTTCATTAATAGTCCCTCTTCCATGTACATCATCAATTACACCATCTTAATTTTATAAGTAGTTAATTTAAGAGTTAAAACAGAGGAATACAACTTACTTGAGCCAGCCAAAAGTTATTTCCAGACTCATTCATTTTTATCATAGAGAAGAGTTTGACATTCTTGTCTACTTGAAGTTCATTAATAGGCTCAATCTCTAACAATCCAGTTTCATCAACAGTATCAGCAGTGTCTATCGTCTCAAAATCCCATATCTTGTAAAGTTAATGAGAAAAACTTTAATCAATAAGTAGTTCATTTACTTTCAAAGCCAGAAAAATGCTCCAGTTGTTTTCAAATGTCATTTCTTTTTGTTGCATGAAAATTAGGAATGAATAAGTACAGCTGGGGCATTAACCCAACCCAAACTCTGGCATTTTCCTCTGCAATGAGGCGTCATAAATATTTTCTTTTGTGTTTATGAAGATTAGTGAAAGGATATAGTCCTGTGTAAGAATTTTAATTGGACCCAAAGTAGCTTCTTCCAAGGTTTCCATTCTGCCTTCATACAAAACAGCCCTAAGGAGTAAACGGCTCAGTTGCTTCAGACATTACAGTGAGTCTTGTTTCTGTACACTAACTGAAAGGCCCAGGCAAAGGAAAAATACACCTTCTTGCTTAAGGATGCAGGCACTGCCTTCATTATAGTCCAAGGAAAATGGATTGCAGTTGATGTTTCTATTAGAAAATTTTTCTCTCCCTTCGTGATGACTTACACTGATCTCAGAGGAGTCCAGAACACTACAGGAAGAATAAGAAGGACGAGTTCCAGCTCACCAAGGCAGACAGACTTGGGACTTTTCACTTGTGAAGTCCCATGACCTGCCCTGATAATGCGGCCACATTATCCTAGACTGTAGAACTCAGACTTCAGGAAAATAACTCCCAGGATATTGCCACTGTCTTATGGACATGTATGTATACATGTGTGTTTATATGGCGGACGCGGACAGATTCTAGAACCAGACAATTCCCAGGAGTCAGGGTAAAAACTTGATAAAGACATCTACAACATGAAGGAATGAAAAGATAAGGACTTTGAAATCAGTAGTGACCACGAAGAGAACCTCTGAAATATTTAACTTCTTCTCTCTTCAGGTTTCTCTACTTGGAATTTGGAGATTTTGAACACAAAAGATCCTCACAGCAATGCATGAAATTCAACAAGATTCAATTTAATATTTTAAGTATTAAAACGTATACTTGGGGCCAACCCTGTGACATTTCAGGTTAAACTGCCACCTGCAATACCAGCATCCTATATAGTTGCTGGTTTGAGTCCTGGATGCTCTACTTCCCATCCAGCTCCCTGCTAATGTGCCTGGGAAAGCAGCAGCACAAGGGTCAAGTCCTTGGGCTCCTGTAGCTACATGGGAAACCTGGATGGATTTTCTGGCTTCTGGATTCAGTCTGAACCATTCCTGTCTGCTGTGGCCATTTGGGGAACAAACCAGAGGAATGGTTCCACCTGTCTGGCCTTCTCTCTGTAACTCTTTAAAAAAATAAATAAATGCATTTTTAAAAACCCTATTCTTGGATTCAGATAGTCAATGATAAAAACTCATAATAAAAAATATAAAAATATATTAGACATATTAAACTCAGTGGATCAACAGAGTGACCAAAATGATTTTAACTTTTAAAAAAAGATTTATTGGGCCCGGCGCGGTGGCACAGTGGTTAAGGTCCTCGCCTTGCACGCCCGGGATCCCATATGGGCGCCGGTTCTAATCCGGCGGCCCCTCTTCCCATCCAGCTCCCTGCTTGTGGCCTGGGAAAGCAGTTGAGGACGGCCCAAAGCTTTGGGACCCTGCACCTGCTTGGGAGACCCGGAGGAGGCTCCTGGCTTCGGATCGGCATATACACAGGAGGAGAGACAGAGAGGAAGATCTTCCGTCCAATGATTCACTCCCCAAGTGACTGCAACAGCTGGTGCTCCGCCAATCCAAAGCCAGGAGCCAGGAACTTCCTCCAGATCTCCCATGCGGGTACAAGGTCCCAAGGCTTTGGTGGTCCTTGACTGCTTTCCCAGGCCATAGACATGGAGCTGGATGGGAAGTGGAGCTGCTGGGATTAGAACCGGTGCCCATATGGGATCCCAGCACATTCAAGGTGAGGACTTTAGCCGCTAGACCACCATGCTGGGTCCCAGAATGGTTTTATTTAAAGACTCATTCATTTATTTGAAAAGCAGAGTCAGAGAGAGACCTACCATTCACTGATTTACTTCCAAAATAGCCTCAGTAGCCAACGTTAGGCTAGATTGAAGCCAGGAACCTGGAACTCCATCTAAGACTCCCATGTGAGTGGCCAGGCCCAAAGCACTTGGGGATCTTCCACTAATTTTCTAGTTGCATTATCAAGGAGCTGGATCAGAAGCAGAGCAGCGGGGACTAGAACCAGTGCCCATATGGGATACCAGCATTGTAGGCAGCAGTTTAACTTGCTGTGCCAAAATGCCAGACACAGAAAAGTTTAATGCAATCTTATTTGTGATTAACACCTCTTAAGAGAACACTACCACTTTCTTATGAAAGATGCTATAAAAGCTATGTGCCAAGGGGACCACAAGGCACATCACAAGGCTAGACAGCTCACAAAGTTAGACAGCCACATGTGGGCACGTGCTTACAGAAGACGCCATTCAGTGGTGTGTATGGGTATGTATGTGACAGAACAGGACCGGAACCACGTTCCAACTTAGCCCAGTCCTTAAGCAGGAGAGTGTTTACAAGCCAAAACAGGTGTGTTTTTCCTGTGTAAGGAGCAAAGAGAAGACAGTATCCAGAACCCAACCTTGGCAGCTCACCTGTGAGTTCTAACTGGTAATCTCAGGAGAAGAATTACTAGCAAAGGTTTTGCATTTCTGTTTCTAGAGCATGACCCATTCATGTCGGGCATTTCGGAAGAACAAACGTTTCTACTGTTGATACTGTGCTATCATGGCTTTCATTTTCATAACCCATTTCAACAACATAAAAATAACCAATGGTCTCAATGCTAAGATTTGATCAATTAATTTTGACAAGAATACAGGTGTTACCACCCAAGAAGCATTATTTAAAATAAATTGGTCTTGAGAGTAAATGACTGCTGATGGCTTCATAAAGTCATCTCCCTTGGAGATAAAAACCTGCCAAAACCATCTAGATACCGTCAAGCCTTAGAAATAGGTATTACGGCCCAAGCCCCAAGACAACTTACCCTGATACATCCATCTGAGCCAACAGTGATCACTTCCCCCTCATCTAGCATTATCTGGTTGATAGGCCCATGGTGACAAGACTTTCTGGCAGCTCGACATAGTTCCACCTTGATAAGACCACCATCCCAAAGCAGCATGTTGCCCCATTCTGACCCTGACAGTACCTGGCAGATATGAAGGAAGGAATGTCACTTGGTAAGAACTATATTTTAACATTATTTTTGTTTATGAAAGTGAAAAGTCTAATAGTAAAAAATAAAAAAGACTTACCACCCCGAACCCACTAACCACATTTTGATATATTTCCTTCTAGCATTGCATATATGTATTCACTGTTGTGGTTTTAGTTTAATTGCTGTGAGTTCTTCACATATGTACATAATATATATATATATGCTAATATTTATTTAATTTTTGGAAAGTCAGACAGACAGAAAGGAGAAGAGACAGAGAGGAAGATCTTCCATCTGCTGATTCACTTCCTAAGTGACCGCAATGGCCGGAGCTGAGCTGATCCGAAGCCAGGAGCCAGGAGCTTCTTCTGGGTCTCCAAAATGGCTGCAAGATACCAAGGCTTTGGGCTGTCCTCCACTGCTTTCCTGGGTCACAGGCGGGGAGCTGCAAGGGAAGCAGGACCGCCAGGACAGGTACCGGTACCCATGTGGGATCCTGGTACATGCAAGGCAAGGACTTCAGCCACTAGGCCATTGCACCAGACCCACATCGTGTATGTATGTGTGTGTGTATTTCGGGGGAGGTACATCACTTAAGAACATAATCCAGGAAATAGAATTACTGGTACAAAAGTGAAAAAGATTTCTCAAGTTATTGATAGATGATACTCTACTTGTTAAGTGTAATACTATCAAGCTTAAAGAATACTTGAGGGACAGGTACTGTGGCAAAGCAAGTTAGGCTTGAACTTGGAATGCCTCCATCCTGAAAACATGATTGTATTGTTCACACAGTGGCTGTTCTCACCTTCCCATCCGGGAGCTCCATATAGCCTTCAATATCAGTAGTAGCTGTTTTGCCAAATCGACCCAGTGCTCCCTGAAGTTTGAGACCAGTGAATGTAAAAGCCATTTCCCAGAATCTACAATTGAGAAGGAGATTGGATATATGGCATTCTTTAAATAGTACATTTAAATACATACATTTAATAATGAAATTTACTTATTTTGAATATGACCCAAATCTTTATATATTTTATATTAATATACATTGTTTCACTCATAATTAATCTTTTCACCTAATTTAATAAGTATTAACAATCTCTTTCCTGGGGCCAGCACTATGGCACAGTGGGTAAAACCACCACCTACAGTGCCAGTATCCCATATGGCACCAGTTGGAGTCCTGGCTTCTCTACTTCCTATCCAGCTTCCTACTAATGTGCATGGGAAAGCAGTAAAGATGGCCCAAGTGCTTGGGCCTCTGCTCCCATGCAGGAGAACTGGAAAAAGTATTTTCAAACTGATCCAGCTTTGGCCATCGTAGCCATTTGGGGAGTGAACCAGTACCTGAAAAAATCTCTCTCTGCCTTTCAAATAGATAAATAAATATTTATGTTTTAAAAGGAAAGAAAAAATAAGAAAAAATATGTTTTCTGTCAAAGTTCAAGGCAATATGCTTTCAGCAATGAGCCAAATGTTTTAAAACCCTCTGTGGGGCCCAGTGCGGTAACCTATTGAATAAAGTCTTCCCTTTGCTTGTGCCAGGATCCCATATGGGAGCTGGTTCTAATCTAGGCAGCCACGCTTTCCATCCAGCCTGTTTGCAGCCTGGGAAAGCAGTGGAGGATTGCCCAAGGCTTTGGGACTCTACACCCATACTCCTGGCTCCTGGCTTCAGATCAGCACAGCTCCAGCCATTATGGCCACTTGGGGAGTGAATCAATGGATGGAAGATCCTCCTCTCTGTATATCTGACTTTCCAATAAAAATAAATCCCCCCCCCCAAAAAAAAGAAAGAAAAAAATCCTCTGGATTTTTTTATTTTTGAGTTACAGTATCCTGTTTAGTAGTTACCTGTCAGGTATAACAATTTAATTTATACATAAAGTAATTAACACTAAATGAAATTTAAAATTCAACACTTCCTTAAAGCAGCTAGTTTCACATACACAGGAACTACATGTGGCTAATAGCTGGGATACTGGACAGTACACAATTCCAGCCTGGCAGAAAATTCTGTTGGAGGATATTGTTTTAAAAATAAAAAGTGTTCAAAAAGTTCTAATTTACCACTGTGTGAGTTTTGGCTTCTTAATCCTTCATTTTCTTGTGATTTTGTGTGCCTTCATTTTCTCACACGAGATATTTGATATGCCTAACTTATAAAATTGATAAATAATCTTAAAACCATGCTCAACACATGACAGCAATAAATAATATTGTTAGGATTTAATTATTATCCCGAACAAATGAACAGAATGATGAGGGCTGGTAGCTAAAAATGCCTTTCTTAATGAGACATCGGAAACTAAGTTCCGGCATCTCTGGGGTTGATGGTGTTAGACTTCCAAAGAAATGCAAGAACCAGAGTGAAACGAAGTTGTGATAAAAAATCATTCCTGTCTAGAAATGCACCACTGATCCAGTGAAATCAGCGTGAAATTCGGAATTAGAGACCTGAGATTAGAAGCAACCTCTGCCGTCCTTGTAGTAGTAATGAAGAACCCTTGTCAGGAATGACATTGCGCTAATTCTTGTTTTATGGATAGTGACCAGGTTGTTACAAACAAAAAAATTTGCTCGTGGATGTGAAAGCGTTATATGAACTTTGAAAACACCATGCCATGACCAGTTATTAAGATACTATACAAACTCTTTCAAAGTCTCACCAAAAAATAGCAGGCTTTATTTAAAAGCCTTTTTACCTAGACTGCCTTTGGAATCAAATTTCATATATCAATTTAGAAAAGTGCACTGCTGCTTGCTTTGTAAAATTTTTAACATTTTTAAAATTATGCTTATTGTAATCAACAGCAAACATGGCTTCAAACAGGTCATAGTTCCTCAGAGACCATACCTTTCTACAATTTACTAGCATCTCTGTTGGTCACTCTACCTACTTGATGTGGCCTGATCCTGATGTCGTAAGCTGCTCTTCATCTTCAGGATTGAATGTCACTTTAAAAACTTCTTGAGTAAAAGCTTTTGTCCGCAGTATGGGTTGCTCTTCTTTCCAGTTCCAGATGGTCAGTGTGTAATCGGGACTGCTCCCCACAGAGGCCAGTAAAGTACCCCTGAAGTTAAAGTCCACATAAGCATACCCCTTCTCTGCCCCATCTGGAGGAAGGAATGGAACGCTCATAAATTAGCACCACAATTGTTTACTTTCCAAAAGTGTATCATAAAAAAATGGGAGAGACAGCATTTAGTGATGAGTATTCACATAAGAATTCAAGGATCACTGCAAGAACAACTGCAAAGTTACTCCTTGCCAGTGGCTTTAGGAGTTATGTGATAAGGATGAAGGTGAAAATGTTTTAACCACAATTTGCATGAGAAAAACACTTTGAGAACATACTTCCAATCTTACAAAGTGGTGGAGAAACACAAAGGAATACTAATAGTAAAGAAAAATCAATACATAATTTAAGATTTATTACTAAAAAATCAATCATAAAACTTGACTGCAGAAATGAACTATACAGAAAACAGAACAGTCAGATAATTGTGGTGGTTAATTTGAGGTGTCTACTTGGCTGGATGATAGCACCCAGCTGCTGAGTTAAACCGTAATCTAGACGCTGCTGTGCAGGCATTTTGCAGACATGGTCAACATGAACGTTCAATTAACCTGAAGTAAAGGAGGTTATTGCTGATGACGCAGACAGGCCTCCTTAGTCAGCTGAAGCGTTTTACAACAGAGGAAGAAATTCTGCTTGAGCACTACAGCATTCTTCCCAACCCTTTGTAGCCTGCCAACTGCCCCACGAATTTCAGACTTCCAGCCCTGACAACTGTGTAAGCCGATGCCACTAAGTGAGTCACTTGTCTATCTTCTGTTAGTTCTGCTTGCTGAAGGTTAACATGAAGTATCTTACACACGCTATTAGACTTACCCCGAAGTATTCTGTAGGGTTTCAGAGAAGGATATTCATAGATGATGATCTTTGGATAACTTCCTTTTTCAGCTACTGTGAAGTGAGTTTTCTGTGGATGAACCTGCAAAAAAAATATTTCAATAAAATATCAAAAGAAAGGTTTTGATGTAAAGAATACCATTAGTACAATATTTGCATTTCTTATTTTATAAATGTCTCCCTAGTAAAACCTAGCACAAATGAAGGTACACATAACAAAAGTGGGAAAGACACAATTATTTACAAGCCAGTTACACTTAGATGTAGTAATGTATCCTGGGTAAACTGTGTGTGCCAGCATTGCAAATGACAGAATATGTCAGATCAAATCACATGCTGATTTTCACTTTTATTCATTGGTAAGTCAAAAGCACAGGAAGAGCAAAAGACTAACCAAAAAAGAAAAAAAAGGATTTAATAAGAATTAGCTATTGGTGGTATATACTATAGAATTCTATTTTATGTTACTGCTTTTGCCATTCCCAGTTATAACTCAAGGATAGAGGTTAGCTCTCAAAAAGAAATTGCAACTTTATTGTACCCAAGACAACATAGGGGTTCATTTTCTTCCCTCCATTCTTGGGGCCATAATACTGGGGATAGGCTGACTTTTTTCTGGCAAGCTGTTTGTTACCCTTCTAGTCAAGTAAACTTCCTTCACTTTAACAGGCTTGGGTTTATGAAGTAGATACTCAGTGAGATCATGATAACACTGAATATAGATAACATTCAAGAGGTTCTTACCATGTGCCACAAACTCATATGCTTAATTCCTTTAAAATTCCCAGCAACTCTTTATGTTGGTATGTGGTCATCATTTCTATCTACTCCAGAGACTTAAGCAATTTGAGAAGAGCATATGGCCTACAAAGTACTAAGTTTGGGAGACAGAGTTCAAGAAGCCAGAGTTTAGAAGAAAGACATAACTGGAACTAAGAAAGAATAGATTTTAAGGAGGTTAGGATAAATAGATTAAGACCATACCTGTCAAGACCCCATTTACAAAGAAAAAAATCTTTAGGATACATGGTCAAATAGTCAAATGTTTGACCCCTACAAGGCCTTGTGGGCCACAAGTTAAAAAAAAAAGTTTCAGCCCACTGAGATTGGAAGCTGCTGTGGCATGAGTTCAGATATCTTATTCCTAATGGACACCTGGAATTAATAAGTTATTTACTTTAAATTCAACATATAAATCCACTGCATATTTTCAGGAAGGTAGCTCATATGTCCAAAACATATACTTCACAGGCTTACCATAATATGGCAAAATTATTCTCATCCTCAACTGGATTTAACTGTTTCAGAAAAAATGAAGTGATGTGGGCAGACCAGGAGAGGCCTGGGTTTCCACACAGACATCCACAGTTCTAGCAGCCATGGGAAAGAATGCTGTGGACATAAAACTGCTCAGAATCAGGGTGGATCAACACTAGGATTTAGCACTCTTGACCACATTACATTTCAGGTTTCTTCCCTCAGATCTAATCAATTTATAATAAAACGGAAAAATAAAAGTGTAGAAACTAATAATGGCCATAAAGTGGTAGGTAAATATGTTCATTAAACGTTTCTTAGTCCTCTTAGGATATGTGCACTGCAGGGCTCAGGATACTGATTGACCCAAAAATCTAGGCACCTCATCACTGGGCCCAGGAATGCTTGCATAAAGCTATTGTCCTGTCATCAGACACTTCCATACCTAGTTCTTTGTATGCTCCTTTTCATGTGGGTCCTGTCTCTTTAGATGGATTTCAAACTTTAAATTCATAAAGGTGAGGAATTCATCTAATCCTGCACTGTATGTTCTGCGTGGTGAAGGACACTTACTATCACATGATAAATGCCAAACTTATTAGTCTTCTAGAAAACTCCCTAAGGACAAGTATTTTTATCATGTACACATTATATACAGATAAATGGCAAGACAGAAAGAAACGTGGCACTTTCATTGCACACATCTCATCATGTCCTATTTCTATAATGAATCCTGATGTCCTGTTTGTGGGTCTCACATTTGCCCTGCCTTCTCCAATTCTCATTGCTGTTTGCTTGCTACAGTCCTCAGATGAAATCCTCACTCACTTCTGTTCCCAATCTAAATGTTAAAAAGCATGCCTTACTATGGAGAAGTCACTTCAACCTGCAGAAGTCTGTTTCCTTATCAGCAAAAGGAGATAATAATATTAATATAACAATATTACATGAACACAATATCAGTAAGAATAGCAGCTGAATATCTAAATTTAAAATGCATTAGAATAAAACAGCCAGGTATCCCATGTCATTCCACAATGCCATGCATGGTGCTGTCATCTCACAACCATCACTGACTAGCCAGAACATTGTTTTTATCTGTATTATTAAGAGCATACCCCAATGACACCAATTCCTTCCCCACTGCTGCTTCGCAGATAGGTCTGTTCCTTGGTTTTTAAATTCAGGAGGATCAGCTGGTTCCCAGCGATGTATAATGCAGTACTGCTGTCCAGAAGCTGTAGGTTGGCTCGTTTTCTGCAGTCATATCCAAAAGAATGTCTGAGGGTAAGATGCTAAGGAAAGAAGTGCAACAAAATAAGCACCAAAGGTGTAGGAAAAGTGATGAAAAAAATGTAAAAGAACATACTCAGGTAAGCACTCCAAAATTGAGTAACTGAAATTTTAGCCTGCAATTGGACAGGAGGTACACAGGAGGGAACAAAAGGCCACAGGGGCTCCTTCACATTGCATCTCATCAAATGCAGTCTTCCACTTGTGCCAAGGACAGCCTGAAAAGCCTTTTTTCTCTGGATAGTTTTCTGTCAAACAACATCTGGATCCAAATAAAACTGTACACTTGTTGCTCAAATTTTCTAAGGGCCAACCTTCCTAGGATCATTTAAGACATGGGTTAACAAATGTGTTTAACAAATCTCTGGTAAGAAATATTTGAGGCCTTGTGAGTCAGATGGTCTTTATCACAACTACTTAATTCTGCCCTTGCAGTGTGATGACAGACACAGACCTGACCATAGCCACGCAAAGGAATGCACGCGGCAGTGCTGTCGGTAAAGCCTTATTCCTCACTCTATTCATATTGTAGTACACAAGCACCTTAGTTAGGCATATTCTATTTATTTATTTTTGCTTTAATTATTTATGTTTTATGGGTTCTGATTCACAATAACTAAGAAATGAAACCAATCCAGATGCCATCAACAGATGAATGGATAAAGAAATTGTAATACATTTACACCATCGAATGCTATACAGCTATACAGGGCTGTGGGGCATAAAATCAATAGATTGATGTTCCTAGTATACACAAGCAACATCATAGTTCAGAAAAAAACTTGTAAGTACAGTACCCTTTAAAACACCAGAGAAGAACCTAAAATATTTTGGAATAAGCCTAACCAGAGATGTAGAAGACCTCTATGACAAAAATTATAAGACATTAAAAAAGGAAATAGAAGACATCAAAACATGGAGAAATTTTCCTGGATTGGTAGGATTAACATCCTCAAAATTTCCATATTTCCAAAAGAAATGTACAGATTCAATGCAATCCCAATTAAAATCCCAACAACATTCTTTTCACAAGTAGAAAAGATACAAAACTTGATCTGGAAACACAAATAGCCAAAGCTGTTCTGAAGAATAAAAATCAAGCTGGAGGAATCACAATTCCAGACCTGGAGATATACTACAGGGTAGTAGTAATCAAAACTAATTGGTATTGGTATAGAAAGAGAGAATCAGATCAATGGAACAGAAAAAAAAAAAAACAGATGTGAGCCCACATATGTACAGCCAGCTCATCTCTGACAAGAAAACTGAAAAAATTCAGGCAAAAGGTTCAGTCTCTTCAACAAATGCTGTTTGGACAACTGGACAGCAACTTGCTGAAATAAGAAACAAGACACCCAAATTTCATCTTATAAAAAATTAGCTCTACCTTTATCAAGGACCTAAATCTGCATCCAGAATCCATCAAACTATTAGAGGAAAACATAGAAAGCACTCTACAAAATACATACATTGGTAAAGATTTATTTAAAAAGTCACCCAAAGCACAGGTAGTCAAAGCCAAAATAAACAAATGGGACAACATCAAACTAAGAAGCCTCTGTACAGCAAAGGAAACAATCAACAAAGCAAAGCACCAACCAATAGAATGGGAGAAAATATTTGCATACTATACAACAGATAGGGGACTAATATCCAAGATTTACAAAGAATTTCGAAAACTCAATGACAGCAAAACAAAAAACCAATAAAGAAATACCAGCAAAGGAAATGAGAGGGCATTTTGCAAAATAACAAATCTGAATGGCTAATAGCCATGTCACAAAATGCTCAGGTTCCTTAGCTATTGGGAAATGCAAATAAAAATTACATTGAGGTTCTACCTAACTCCAATGAGAGTGGTCTATATTCAGAACTCTGCTAACAACATCTGCTGGCATGGATGCAGGGGAAAAGGTTGCCCACCCCACTGTACGTGAAAATGTAGGTTAGTGCGTTCACTATAGAAATCAGCCTGGAGCATGCTACGCCAACCATATATGGATCTACCATATGACCCAGCTTTCCCACTTCTTGGAATATATTCAAAGAATGTATGGAATACTACTCAGTCACTAAAAATAGTGAAATTCTACTGTTTGCAACAAAATGGTCCCAACTAGAGACCATTATGCTCAGTGAAATAAACCAGTCCTCTAAAGGACAAATATCATATGTTCTGATAAAAAATAAAATTCATGCAAAATACTAAACAAATAAGTATATATATAGGTAAAAGTGTGTATATATTTATTCTCATAGATGAACTATATAATGGAAACTACCATATTGGGTAGTGAAGAAATGTTGCAGTATGCATCTCTACTCCTGAATAAAAGAACTCTCACTGAAACTGTTAAGTATACCAGTGATGGAAAACTAGATTTTTCACCATTGCCAGCACCTACAGTGTTGTAATACACACTTGTGACTTTTGCTGAAGGACTATACTATTGTAATAATTCATGACAAATAGTTGGGATTTGAGGGAGAATGCAGAGGAAGGAGGTGAAGTGGAGGAGGGAATCCCTCTACCTACAATACCATATCATGAAAAATAATAACAACAAAAATATTTTTAAAAACTAATCAGCCATAAAAAGAAGGAAATCTTACTGTTCACAACAAAATAGTCCCAACTGGAAATGATTATGCTTAGTGAAATAATCCAGTCCCAAAAGGGCAAATATTATATGTTCCATCACATATACAAAAATATGCATATATATATAAACTCTACAAGGGAGATTAATATACTGGGAAATAATGGATATATGCAGCATACATGTACTTTTATTCCCAATTAATAGTAGGATTCCCATTAATATTTATACTTCTATGTTACATTGCTATATTTTCTACTTTTCCTGTACTTGTCATGTCACAATAGTTATATATCAGAAAGTTAAGCTTATAATGGCAAAATAAATAACTTATTATAATTACTTTAGGACAAATAATGAGAAGATTATAAGGAGGTAACAGGAGGAGACAGATGAACCACTGCGCCTATATGTCTGTATCATGGAAAAAAGAATTTTAAAAATCATTTTCCAAAATAAATAAGAGGTCAGATTTAGTCATTGACTATATAGCGTGTTGATCCTTATCCAATAACTAAAATCCCCAAGTATGCCAATGCAACTGGAGTGGATACACAACTGTGAGAAGATCCAATGGTATGTTCGAATCTGGAGTCACAAAAGGCATCGAAGCAAGCTCTGAGTAATCGTAGAAGAAACTCTCCGATATTTTCTTCTTTACAGGCTCCTCAACCTCTTCTGAAGCTGGAGCAGGGGCTTCTGGAGGTGCTGAAAATTGCAAATATTGTAACCAAGAAGAGTTGTCTGGTAAATTCTAAAACTGCATTTCCCAGAGACAGGAAGAACAAACGTTGCTTGAAATACTCTAAGTACAACTACTGGCCAGAATACATGATGCCACCCACCAGGGAGCATGGATGTAGGAGAGCACACCTGTGTGCACATGGGGAAAAAGCTGAGCAAATACAGCATGCTATTGACCGGGGAACACGAAGAAAGAATAGCATGCCTGTTTGCACACGGGGTGAAGGCTGAGCTCTGGTCAGAGTGAACAGTCTACAAGAGCTGTTGGAGAACTAACCAATCTGGGTGGAGCACTCCTTGGGTCATCTCTGTTCTCAGAAAATTTTGTCATGTATGAAAATTTTGCCATGTGAATCTCCAAAAGGAAATATAAACAGCTACCAGGCTGTTATAACTTCTTCAATCAGAATATGTGCAATGCTTTTCCTTTTATCATCCACATACAGACAGAAGTACCCAAAATGTCACAGGAAATGCCTATGCATGGATCTCAACTTGACTGAAAACAAACTTTTAATTACATCTTCCCACAAACTTCATGGATTACCTTTGTTCCTACATCCTGCAAGTTTTCTCTTTTATGGATTCACAACTATTCAATTTGTCTAGGCAATTTGCACTGAAGACATTGATAATTACTGATAGAAAACAATACTTACCTGCAATGTCTTCCATGTAACCATATTGAATTGAACTTGAACTTCCTTCTAAATTTTCCTCATCTGAGTCTTTTCCATCTACATAGGATTCTTCCCCTTCAGTAAATGTTTCTTCTTTTGTATCATCTTTTGTAGCAGCTATTCAAAATATTTTTTAAAATAATTTTTACATTTTGAATTAAACATTTTCTTATTTCAGAGGAGATAAAACCTATCATTTGTGCTCTAAATTTAACGATTTTTGTTCTTCAAATATCCCTAGAAAAATCATTTATCATACCAATTTTACAACTTTATAAAATGAAGGAATTTTCTGTAAGTTAATATCCATTTTTAAACTTTCTTTCCAGTCTATTTCCTATCAATGCACACTTACAAGAACTTAAGGAAAAAAGTCAATATTCTGCTATTGATTCGGAGGAAATAGGTAAGTAGTTTCTGCTGAACTAGAACTTGCAAGCCCCCATACATAATACTGTCCTTCCTACTTGCCAATCAAAACCTTCTGTTTAGTCTCGGACTTAGCAGGGTAGAGGCCATAAATGGGATGGATAATAAGCGTTCCATTTGAAACTTGTGAAACTGACCTGGTAGCTAGCTTCATGTCTACAGAGGCACTGCTCCCCAAAGCACAAAAGAGGCCAACACCTAGGAGGGGCTCGGTCTCTCCCCACAGCCCACAGCTGAATGCACTGTACAGGAGCAATCTCCTCTCCTCTCCTACCCCTCCTTCCTTTGGCTGATCCTCTGGCCTATTGCCTGATCCTGACTGGTACTTCCGCCTGTTGGGCAACCCCTATTTACACAGGTATGTGGGCTCACTTTCTCACTTTTTGGATAAATTTTCTTACCACTTTGTGCACCTTACACGTCTGCACACTTAAAAGAGTTGTTTATGTGTGAAACAACGACCTAGAGTAATAATTAAAGCATTCTAGCTCACATCACTATCACCACTTTAAATCAGTTTGGTTTTATTAACATGTATCAAGGACATAACATGTTAAAGAAAATAATGCTTATTCAAGAATAACCTTCTCTGAGGATGCTTATTACCCACTGGAGTGACATGCAGAGAATTGGAATGGGAGTAGAAATGCCCCATGTGTAAATCAACATTCAGACTCCAAATTCATACACAACTACAGTTAAAATATCTAACATGAAACAGTTAGTAGACTGGGTGAACTTTCATACGTTTCAGAAGAACAAGAAGTGTCAAGTGTCGCAGAGCTAAATAGAAGATCTGAGATGAGGCTAAAAGATTAGGGACAAGGCCAAGTGTGGCAGGAATGAAACAGAAGAGCTGAGCCAAGCCCATCAGCTGCACAACAGGATAGGGTCCTGAAGGATTCACATATTTTGATAAAGGAAATAATTCTCAGTAGCTGACTAAACCAAGCATACAGCTTGATTTCCAAAAGAAGGGAAATAATGCAGCTTTTTCTCGTGACAGCCAAAGACAGTTTCCTCACCTGAAGTTTGTGGCTTTAAAAGCTTAAGGAGCCAAGTTGTTGGCCTACCCTGAAGCAAAGGAGTTATACATGACAAGATACCTTAAAGCTGCTACCTAGGATTGGATTAAGTTAGAAGAGAATTCAGACAAAGGAGTGTGATTTAAAAAAAAAAAAAATGGGTATTGTGAGCCAGGGAGAAGGATTGTGCCAACTGATGGAAAAAGTGAAGTTTGATTAAAAAAAAAAAAAGCAGTAAAAAATAACACATTATATCATGTGGCAAGGCAGCAGATCTAAGCAATTTGTTGACAGTTGTTCATATTTAATAATCCCCAAACAGCTTGGTGGAAGGCTTACAGTAACAGCATTCGTCTTTGCCTTTCTTTCCAGTCTTGTTTGCAAAAACCCAAAGCCACAAGCTCTATTCTTTTTTAGAACCTGAAGCAGTTAAAACTCCAATTCACAAATGGATGGCAGAGCTAGCTGGTTGGTAAATTGCTATAGACTGAATAAGCACAAGTTCAAGAGGAAGCATATAGAGAGAGGTGACCAAGGAGATAGAACAGGAAAGCTGCAGATAACAAAGAGAATGAATCAGAGTTTGTTTTATGATCTGATGTTTTAAATGCGAGTTCCTGCAGTTCTCTCCTGTCAGTGGAAACTGAAAGTTTGTGGGACCTCTCCAGGGACCAGACACACATGGCCTCCTACAAACACAGCTGACTTTGGGATTCCTTATTTACCTGTACCCTCTCCATGAGAATGGGAACACAATGAGGAAATCCATAAATTCTGTGATTATGCACACAGAAAAATCCTTAACAGGTCTCAAATTTGTTAGAATTTTAAAAAGAGTTTGGCATGGTTATTGCATGCAATAATATACGAACATTAATGATAGAGACTCCCTTTGGCCACTATTAAGTAACTAGTATCAGATTATTCATACTACAAATGTGAAGTGTTGTAATTTTCCTTTAGTGTTATCCATTTTTGCTTCATGTCCTGTGATGCTATTCTTGCAAGCACACATCGTTATGACTGTTATGTCTTCCTAGTGAATTGATCTTTTCTAACTGTGGAGTATCCCATTTAGTCATTGTACCATTTTTTGCCTTGAAGTCTGCTCTATGTGACATTAGTATCGTCATTCCAATTTTTTTTTCTGTGCCTTCCTTTTTTCATTTGGCAGTATTTTTATTTCTATTTATTTTATTTTTTATTTCAGATAATGTTAACATTGTTGATCAGGGTGGGATGAATCACGTTAGTCTGGATCATGACACTAATCAGCACATGAGAGGATCAGGTTTGGGAGCAGATTCTGAGAGGCATATTCACCAAGGTGGGACTGCATTTTCCATTGGTTTGCTCAAGAGCTGGGGGCAGTAACAGAGCAAACCAGGTATAACCATAGACCTCTCCAATACTCATGTGTACTGGGGTTTAGAACAGGTCAGGCTGGCCCAGAATGCAGCACCCACAGGCAGGCAAGGCCACAACATTCACCTTTACACACAAAGGCTGAGACCTGGGGTAGACTATTCCAAGTAAGGGCACATGTGAGATTTGGGTTTGGGAGTGGGCCTGGTGGAGGTACATGGGGGTACTCCCTTCATGGGCTGTAGCTCCCACTGGTGAGCAATGAGTCAGGGCTGGCTCTGGTCAGGCTTGTTGGCAGATGGGTTGGCTCTAGGGCAATGGAGTGGGCAGAGCCAGGCCAAACAGTACCACACTAACATGCCCAGGAGCCAGGACAGGATGTGGGCTATGCCTGGCTAGGCTAGGCTATCACTTTTACCAGTTTGCATGAAAACCAGGGAGCAAGCTGGGCAGGGGTAGTCTGCAGTACCCACCAGCGAGAGTTGGGAATGAAGGCTGGAAGGCTAGGCCAGGCTACAGCATCACAAGGCAAAGGCCCAAGCCAAGGGATGCGCTATGCCAGGCTGGGTCAGAGCAATCACCACCAACATGACAAGATCTGTAACTGGATGCAGGCCTGGTCAGAGAGCTAAGAGGATGCCCTTACTGTGCTGTGGTTCCCACTGGTGAGCATGAGAGCCAGAATGGGAGAAACAAACTGGGCTGGACATGGCTACAGTCATCCTCAGCATAGGTGTGGACTGGGACTGGGGTGTGCCAGACTGGCTAGGATCCATCACCTGCTAGTGCTCATGGTGGGTGTAAGACAGGCTAGGCCTTGTCCTGAGCCATGCAAAAGCTGGGGTTTTGGTGGGCCAGGCAGGATTGGGATGTAGCACCCAACAGGAAGAGCCAGAATGGGTGTGAGATAGTTGGGTAAGGCTGCTGTACCTCCCAGGAGAGGAAGTGGGCCAAGTTGGGCTAGACCAAGAACCCACCAGTGTGTGTGAGATCTACCACTGGGAGGTGACCTGACAGAGGAGCTTGGGGAACTCCTTTGTCAGGACACAGTCCCTGCAGGTGAGCACAAGAACCAAGACTGGGAGTAGCCCAGACCAGGCAAGGTTACAATATCCACCTGTATAAGTGTGGCTCAGGTCTAGGGGTGGGCTGGGCTGGACCAGTTCATAGCACCCACAAGCAGATATGAGAACCAGGAAAGGGTGCAAAACAGGCAGGGTTGGGTTGCAACACCAGCCAGTTCACCAAAGGACTGGGGGTTGTCCAGGCTGGGTTGGGCAGAAGCATCTGCCAGCATGAGCTGGAACTGAGGGCATGGTAGGCTGAGCCAGGATGCAGCATGCCCTGGTGAATGCTGAGGTGAGGCGGGCCATGCTAGACTAAGCCACAGCACCCACGAGCAAACATATGACCCCAGAGAGGGGTGAGCCCAATCACAGGGCAGCAGGGACTCCCCCAGTGGGTCACTGCTCCCACTGGTGAGTATGAGTGCTGGGATTTAGAGTGGAACAGCCTGGGTAGACTACAACACCTATTGACCTGCATGTGAACTAAGTAAGGGGGAGAGCCAAGTTGAGTTAAGTGATTGCATCCATTTGTGCATGCAGAAGCCAGAATAAGTGCAAGCTGGTTGGGCTTTTCTGCAGTATCAGCTGGCAAACGCAGGGATGGAGCGGGGGGTGGGGGGGCAGATCCTGTCAGACTAGATCACAGAATCACCTGGAAATTGCAAAATCCAGGACTGGGAGTGGGCCTTGTAGGGAAACTGTGGGTATTTCTCTGATGCACTGCAGTCCTCATTTAAACCAAAGTGAGCATTTGAACCAAAGCTGGGGGCATTCCTGGCTGGACAGGCAGTAGTAACTGCCAGCATAAATGTGAGCTGAGCTACACTTCAACACCCATTGACGTGTAGAAGAACCAAATGGGACATGGGCCCTACTGGACCAGTTGGCTGCATATACTGGCATGTTCATAAATTGAGGCTAGGGGTGAGCCTGCTGGGAGTTTTGGAGGGGTCACTTCTAGTAGGCTGCAGTTCCTGCTGGTGTGCATGAGGGCAGAATGTGTGGTGGGCATAGTTAGGCTGGGCTGCAGCACCCATTGGTTTGCTTTGGAGATGGGGCTGGAGACAGAACTGACCCAGTAATTGCAACCATCAGTGTGTCTGTATGTAGGTGGGTGACAAACTGAGACAGATCGTACACTGACTGGTACACACGAGAATCAGGTCTGCGGTCATCTCCGGTGAGTTTTCTTTGGGACCTCCCTGCTGCTGAACTGGACCAGTGGTCTCAAAACTCCAACCACAGGGAAAACCATATGGTCTGTGGTCTAACTATGGAGTGCATATGTCAGAACTGGGCCTCCTCAGTTGCTGAACCCTGTATAATGGACGGCATATCCAGATGCACATGAGGGACATGACAGATCTTTGAGGTCTACAGAGCACACCTAGTACCATGGATTTCAGAATGAACTGGACAACTCTTTTAGCCAAGTGTTGACAGCCATTATCTATTCAAGTGGAAACTCTAAGGTGAACTATGTCAGCCAACGGACCTTGGAAGGATTTCCTTTACCTTGGAACAACAAAATCAACAACACCTCAGAACTACCAAAACTGCTTGAGCAGTGCTCCACATCGGGGACCCTAGGAGGGCATTGGTACACATTGCTGTGTACTGATGCAGTTAGTCTGTTGGAAGCAACCCTTTCCCCTTCTCTCCTCCCTTCCTCCAGACACAGGAAGCAAAAAAAAAAAATGGGAACAACTGTCTGATCCATCTTCCCCCATTCCTTGACTCTTCCCAACCTAATCAGTGATCCACATGTGTGTCCATCCTTCTCAACTATGTCAACATCATCAAAAATAAAATTAAAGGAAAAAAACATTAAACTCTGCAGAATGCAATTAAGTCAATCCTTAGAAGGTAATGCATTCTTTCAATAGATGGATGATATAATAAAAAAGTAAGAATATTAATGACCCAAAGTTCTATTTCATGAACTAGAAAAAGAAACAAAGTAGAAAGAAATAAAATAACTAGACATAAATAAAATAAACAAAGTAATAATTATAGAACAGAAATGAGTAGCAATCAATGAAGGAATATAATTCATGAATAATAGAGAAAAAAATTTTTAAAGATAAACAATATTGATACACTCCTCGCTGGGCCAATAAAAAAGAAAGAGATGAGGGAGAAACAAGATGGTGGAATAGGGTAAGGACACGTTTAAATGAACGGAGAAACATTTAATCAGGAAGAAGCAGAGATGACATATTTCAGGAAATAGGAAAGGACAGAACAACAGCAGAGGGGTACCTGGAGACTGACAGACCAGGAAAGCAGCGGGCACAGCAGTGTGGTATCGCAGTGACTGATATTCCAACATGGCGATCTGAACTCCACCAGCAGCCGGAACTCCACTAGCAACCATGTGGGAAGAGACTTTCACTGGGAGCTTGGGAGGTGAACCCAGACAAAAAACTGTCCATCCTGCTGGTCCATTTGATTTGACCAGGAGTAGAGACAGAGCAGCAAATCTCAGACGGGCAGTGCAAGAACAAAGTGGATTTCACAGCCCAGTCAGCCCCCTAGAGCTGAATTGGATGCCATTTTGAGTAAGGAGGAAAGGGCAAAGGAAAGGATGGAGCATGCTCTGAGCTGTGGGTGAGCTCATTTCTGACTCAGTGAACTGCAACGACGTGGCATTCTGCGGGTTCCACCAGGGGCAGGTCTGGGTAGCCCTCGGATCAGACGGCCAGCGATCAAGAACTGTAGTGGTAGTACGTCAGGCGCCATTTTGTGCACTGTGGCAATAGCTTTAGGACTGCAGGAGACAACAGTGAACTGCACATGTGCTGAGCTCGCAAGAACTCGCTGAGGTCCCGCAGGAAAATAATACCGTCTGTGGCATCATATGGGTCAAAATAGGTCCGTGTGGTACCCAGACTTAATGTCCAACAGGTTCTGACAAAATCAGTGCCACCAACAACCTAATTAGATAGGACACCTGGTGTCTCTCAAATCCTGGGACCTGCTCCAACCAGAAGTGGGAGAAAGGTTGCAGAGACAACAGTGCAGCCTCAGCACGGTATCACACGAGGTGGAGAGTGCTGAACCAAGAGCTGGGGCTGTAGAGACCATGGTGGAAATCTAACATAAGAACCCAGACCTGGAACTCACTGGAGGTTGTGGCACAAGTGGTTGCAAGCAAAAAGTTGTGTACCCACTGCAGTAAGTAAAATCGCATTGTAGACCTGGGGGTGACACAGCTTAGAAACCTGCCCCAAGAAGAAGACTCTGCTAACCAGAAGTACAATGATCAAGAGCAAAAAAAAGAGACAAAGGCACAATGAATAATACTGAGCACTCCCCTGCAAAGGAGCAAAACCCTATGCCAACCTCAGAGTTAACTGAGGAAGACATCGAGAAAATGGGGGACACAGAATCCATAAGACTCATTTTAAAGCTTCTGATCAAAAATCAGAAACTCATGAAAGAGTTCAAAGAATTTAAGGAAGCAGCAAAGCAAATCAAGGCTGGTATATCAGAAATTAAGAACACAGTAGAGCATGGGCCCGGCGCGGTGGCGCAAGTGGTTAAGGTCCTCGCCTTGCACCCCCGGGATCCCATATGGGCGCCGGTTCTAGTCCCGGCAGCCCCGCTTCCCTTCCAGCTCCCTGCCTGTGGCCTGGGAAAGCAGTCGAGGACGGCCCAAAGCTTTGGGACCCTGCACCCGCGTGGGAGACCCGGAAGAGGCTCCTGGCTTCGGACCGGCATAGCATCGGCCCGTTGCGCTCACTTGGGGAGTGAATCATTGGACGGAAGATCTTCCTCTCTGTCTCTCCTCTCTGTATATCCGCCTTTCCAATCTTAAAAATAATAAAAATAAATCTTTAAAAAAAAAGAACACAGTAGAGCAAATGAAAAGTACAGTGGAGAGTCTCCAAAATGGAATGAAGCAAGCAAAAGAAAGAATCTCAGAATTGGAAGATATTTCCTGTCACCAGGGGGAAGCAAACAAAAAGCTGGAAGCAGAGCTGGATCAGGCCAAAATAAGTATTCAAGAATTGAAAGACACTATTAAGAGGCCAAATATAAGAGTTATGGGAGTCCTGGAAGGTGCAGAAAGCGAAGCTGAGTTTGCACATGTATTTAATGAAATAATCAAGGAAATTTTCCCTAATCTGGAGAAAGAATTGGGAAACAAGATCCAGGAGGGTCACAGAACTCCCAACAGGCTTGATCAAAAGCAGTCTTCACCATGACATATGATAATCAAACTCTCTTCAATTGAACATAAGGAAAAGATCCTTAAATGTGCACATGAAAAACATCAGTTGACATATAAAGGAATACCAATTAAACTCACAGATCTCTCACAAGAAATTCTACAGGCAAGAAGAGAATGGAGTGACATATTCCAGATTCTAAAAGAAAAAAAATTGTCAGCCTAGGATAACATACCCCACAAAGCTTTCTTATCTCTTTGAAAATGAAATACAATTCTTCCAGAGTTAAGAAAAGCTAAAAGAATTTGCCACTTCCAAACCTGCCCTACAAATGATACTTCAAGATGTTCTCTTGACAGAGAAGAGGAATAGCACCCAACAAAACCAAAGGCAAACGCGAAGAACATCCCAGTAAAATGACAACAGAAGACTAAACCAATGAACAACCCATTCCTAAAATGACAGAACCAAATTACCACGCATTCATATCAACCCTGAATGTAAATGGCTTAAGCTCAATCAAACATCATAGATTAGTAGACTGGATTAAAAAACAAAACCCATCTGTTTATTGTCTGTAGTAGACACACTTCAACAAAGATCAGCGGAAACTATATCACATGGGTTTTGTTGTTTTCTATTGGTTTCATCTCTTCAAAACACTTTCTTCTGATTAAATCATTCAATGACTCATAGATCATGCAGTGGCATCATTTTCTTCAAGAAGGTTCTTGATTTTCATTTCTTCAGCTACAAGTTAGTCATTTAATAGCATGTTGTTTAACTTCTTGGTGTTGTTAATTTCTTTTTTCTCCCGGATGTTGAGTTTGTTTTGTGGCTCTTCATTTACGGGAATGTATAGAAGCTGTGTAATGGAGACTGTCATATCTAGTAACATGTCATTTAACTGCATGGCATTGTAAATTTCTATTTTCCTTTCTATTGTTGATTTTGTACCGTGACTTTTCACTTAAGGGAATGTACAATAGATGTGTAATGGAGACTGTCATATCTAGTAACATGTCATTTAACTTCATGGCATTGTAAATTTCTATTTTTCTTTCTACTGTTGATTTTGTACCATGACTTTTCATTTAAGGGAATGTACAATAGATGTGAAATGGATACTAATGTCCAGATGTGAGGATGCAGTGTGGTATGCATTTCTGTTTCCAGACAAAGATGGACTTACAATGAAACTGTTTACTCTATCTTGACATAGGATTCTGGACTCTCTGCCATTGTCCATGCCCACAATGATGGACATATGACCGTATATGAAGAACTATATGTTAGTAATGATATAAAGGAACTAGGTGGGGGGGGGAGGAATTGGGGAGGGGATAAGGAAATAGGGAACTGTTTCATAAAATGATAGCAATAATAAAATAAAAAAAGATGTAACAAATTTCAGTAATTAAAACAAATCCTACAGAGTTATGCCAACAAATTTAACAATTTATAAGGAATGTACAAATTCCATGAGGAAGATAAACTTACAAAACTGATAAAGAAATAGACAACCTCTAGCTATTAAAGAAACTGAATTTATAGTTAAAAATCTTCCCACTAATAAATCTCCAGGCTCAGGTAGCTTCTCTTGTGTGTTACATCAAATATTTATGGAAGCAATAATACCAAATGTACACAAAGTATTTCTGAAAATAGAGAACAAAACACTCCCCAGCTTATTACCTGAGGCCAGGAATAATTTAGTCCTCTGATGAATAATCAGAAAGCAATGTCCTTGCAACTAAGGGTCCTGGATCTTTATGGGAAATGGAGGACAGATGGATGGATATACTTGGCCTGAATTTCTTCAAACAACTCTGTTACAATGGAAACCCCTTGTTAAGTGTGGTGAAGAGTTCACCCTAACTTCTCTGCTTGGGTAGAACACCTGGAACTGAGAACCCCAAAGGTTAAGAAGTTGCTCAGCTGCTTTAGCAATTTCCCAGGAGCAGGTAAGGTGGATGAAGCAATCAGGTAGTGGATGAGTC